GCGGGCAACTCCAGAGTAGTAGAGAGTCCAGCCTCTCTCGAGGAGTAAGGTTCCAGAGCCCAAGCTGTGCGTGGAGGTGAGCCCGACTATATCTAGCCGGTACCTCTCAACCTCCTGCACAAGCTCGGGCTCCTTCCCCACCAGCGAGGTGACATTCCATGTCCCCAGGGCTATTAGAACTCATGTCTTATAATTTTTTTCTGTGTGTTTAGTGTCTTAGGCCACCATTATTTTGCTGTTATCTCAAGGCTGTAATGATAATCTACAGTATATTTATTTCTTAGTCCCTTTATTAAGATATAACTAGAAAATACAGGACATATATATAGACAATATTAAAAAACACAAAATGTTCAGAACAAAATGCCTTCTACAGTCCACAGTATTTGACCTCCCTTAGCACAGCTTGAATTCTTTGGGGGAAACTGTGTTGATGTCTTGAAACCATGACAGGCCCTCCACCTTGTTTCACTGACGGCTGTGAGCTCTCATTCTTCTACCTCGCTCCAACATACTGTTGATGATTGGACCTGAACATTTCAAACTTCCATTCCTCACTCCATAACACTCTTTACCACTGATCCTCATTCCAGTCTTTGCCTTTTCTTCCTGTCTCCTTCTGGAAATGTGGTTTCTTGGCTACTATCCTTCCACAAAAGCCGTTCCTGGTCGGGCTTTTTCAGACTGTGGAAGGATCAACTTGGCATCCAGATGAAGCTGCCAGGTCCTTGCTGGATTTCCTCTGGTCTATCAAAGATGAAACTTCTCATCAGATATTGACAGTTTTCTTGATCTTCCACTCCAGTTTTTGTCCTTGACCTCTCCGGATTTTTCATATTTCTTTAGAACAGCTTGAATGCCACATCTGGAGTATCCAGTTTGTTTGCTGATTTATTCTGACATATTTTTGTGTTTTTAATACTGTGTACCTATTTCCTGTATTTTCAAGCTGTATTCTGATAAAGACATATAAATAGTCATGACAACACTGTTAAAACAACAAATCTAATGGTGGCCTAAGACGTTTGTACAGTGCTGTATGGCAAACCATGTCATTGTGTTTTGTTATCATATTAAACAGAGTAAGGACCTTCTGAGATTTTCAATAATTTCCATGTATTTTCATAAAATCAGATGCTTAGCTCTATGACTCAAATCTAACAGTAGGATGAGAGTGGGTCTAGGTCTGTGAATGCTGAGCAAAGCACTGTCCTCACCTCACATTAACTACACTGAGGAGATCTGACTGCCAACTCTCATGCCTTGGAGCTTTGCTGAACTGTTAGTAGAAAATCTTTCAGCTGAGCACATTTTAGACAGCAGGCTCCGTCAGAGCTCTCGGTGTTAACAGGCTTTCACAAAGAGATGCTGTTTATCTTTCCTCAAAGTTGAGACCTTTAAATTGATGTCTGGGAGTAAAACATATCCACATATTCAAATATTTATGAAGTTTGTGTTAGGTTTACTGCTGAGCAATACGTTTGACACATTGGTAGACAGAAACACTCAACTCATGAAACACAGTAATAAAGGGTTTGGATGTATGGCTCACGGTCGCAGAGCCTGCTACCGCTATGCTAAAAGTACCAACTAAATTACTGACTATCAGGAAATCAATGATTTTAAAATCAATTTAGGGAAACCATTGTTATTTTCATTAACCGAGCAAGCTGTGAGCAGGCGTCAATGCAAGCGGCAGAGACTGTTGTGGATGACTGGCTGACTTAAGACGTGAGAGACACAGACAGCTGCCTCACTGAGCAGTCATCTGTGTGTGTGTGTGTGTGTGTGTGTGTGTGTGTGTGTGTGTGTGTGTGTTTGTTTGTGTGGTTCTCAGCAGCTCCAAATGAAATTAGCTGCCACGCCAAATACTTTAGCAGCAGTCTGCAGCAGTGACTCAAGGTCAGACTTTGCTGATTCTGCTGATGCATTTTATTCTCTGGGGCCAGCACCAGGCTGCCAGATGAGGGGTTACCACTGCCCACCAACCCCTCTACTCACCCATTCATCCAGTGCACATACTCCCATCCCTCCATTATCACTCTGGTCCTCCCTGGCAAGAGAGTGTGCATTTACCCGTTAAATTAGGTGGGGAAAGAGGGGGTGACAATCTCCGCTGGAGTGCCTGGGTACCCTTGCTGACGCACAGCAGGGAGATGAATAGGCTAAGGTGTCCTAATTTCCCATGTGACTACAGTAACTGTGTTATAATGAAGGTGGACATCAGTAGACAGACAGAGGTACACAGCTGCCAGCTCCTCATCTGCCTCCTTTGTGTCACCATACAGAGCAGTAGAGTGCAGCCTGAGCCAGGTCTGTAGTGTGATGTCTTGAGGTAAGGAATTTTACTAACATGTGCATCACAGCTTATTACAATTTATGTTTGAGTCATTGCTTTAATGGTAGTTTGCAACCATATTCCCTCAGGCAGGTGAGCTGCTGCTCTTCTCCATCAGTTGGCCACTTACTAGCTTACTTGATGAGCTTGAAACACCTTACCTCGGGTTAATGTCACCAGCGGTAAATAAATAAATAAATGTTGTAATATAATGAAATGGTAAGATGTGTGCAATGATCTGCATTTGTGAAGCTGTACACTGAAAATATATATGATTTATACTCATAAAATTAGAGTTATCTCTTGTTATGCTTGGTGAAAGTCATCATGAGGGTGATGTCATCAGGGTTATCTCAGTTTAGGCTTGAGAATTACCAGAAGTCCTGCCTTAGGGGTTTGAAAGACCCTGGCTTTTAGGAGGCAAGTGAGTTCTAATTATATATTCAGTTACATTATGGGACATGTAGGATTCAGAGTTTTGGGAGCTTTACTAATATTAGAGATTAAAAGTCCCTGAACTTTACAGAAGAGACAGACTACATTACTGGAGTATCCTTGTTATGCTTGAAACTGACTTGACTTGAATCTGTAATGCCACCAGAATGTCGACAATTCGCATTTTAAAAATCAATACTGACTTTCATTATTCTTCTGCACATTTATCACCAGTATTTTTTTTTCTATATTTTGTCCCTCCTTTGAGTGTCCTGCTTACCTAGACAAGGCGACCAAAATAAATGGTTTACATCCATAAATAGAAGTGAAAAGCAAATTAAAGTGGTCATTCTCATGTCTGTTCCCTCCTCTGTCCTTTGGTTTTAGGCACCATGAGACCCGTACAGAGGAACTTCTATGAGCCATCGTCTGCCCCAGGAAAAGGCGTGGTGTGGGAGTGGGAGAACGACAATGGCTCATGGACACCATATGATATGGAGATCTGTGTGACCATCCAGAATGCCTATGAGAAGCAGCACCCTTGGCTGGACCTGACCTCTCTGGGCTTTTGCTACCTCATCGACTTCAACAGCATGTCTCAGACCAACAGGCAGAGCCAGCGCAAGCGACGCCTGCGGCGACGCATGGACTTGGCCTACCCCCTCATCATGGGTTCCATCCCTAAGTCACAGTCCTGGCCTGTGGGAGCCAGTTCTGGCCACCCCTGCACCTGCCAGCAGTGCATCCTGGTAAACAGCACAAGAGCTGCCTCTAATGCTATTCTGGCTTCTCAGCGACGTAAGCTCTACGGAGGGACAGCAGGCAACCCAGGCGCTGCAGGAACTCTCACTGTAGTTCGGCAGAGCAACACTTTTGCTGGGACGTCCCTGTGGTCTCCGACATCCACCTCATCTGGCACCAACAACAATAACATAAGTGTAGGAGGTGGGCAAGCCAAAGCTGAACAGGTGCAGTTGCCAGTGTCTAGTGCCAACTTCCCCCGCTCCCCTGTGATGCCATCTCTTTCATCCGCCCATGTCCACCATGCTTTTACCATCAACGGACAGAATAACCTGAACCGGCCGGGGACCCAGCGACTTTCCATGGGCACTGCCAGAGGAGCCATCCCACCAGGGTAATGAGTTTTGCAAGCAGAATCATGCATTTCCATTACTGTCTAATTTAGATTTTCTTGAGTCTGCAGCTGCCCATTACTTATTGCAGCATGCTTAGATTTGGTTGACTTTACAGTTGAGCTGAGGAAATGAGTGTTTTTTTTTTTTTAAGGTGACACTTTCTGTTACTGCTTGTCTGCTTCACAAAGCCTGCATGGTCTGGTGTATTATACTTTTTTCTGTCTTTCTCTACTATGTCTCTGCTGATTTATGACTACTCCCGTTAACTCAGTGGTACAGTAAATGGATCTGCAGCAAAAGTCCTGGTTCCAGCTGCTTCTCCTTTTCCCAGCTTCACTGAGGAAGAAACCTTCTCTTCCATATGTGTGTCTACCATGGTTACTGCTCCATAATGAGCTTATGTTGGCCCCAACAGGCATGAAATACTGCAGCTCCTCTGGAACATTCTGCTGCTTCTGCTTTGAACTAATTGGTTACTTCCACACTAAGCTTAGTTTTGTTGTATCATGAGATGCTTAAAAGTCTGACACAGCATGTGGAATATCTGGATGTGTGTGTAACTGAGGCTTTGTTTCATGGCGTGGGTGTGTGTATGCATGGTCAGACATGTGAAGTAGGGTTCTGGTGTAGCTGTGGAAACCTATTTGCCATGGAGATAGAGCTCCATTGGGGAAAAATGAATAATGGATCAAGGAAAAATGGGAGCTTCAGTGGAGCACTCTGACCTCAGAGCAATTTAGCGAAAGGAGCTGAGGAAAAGAAGTGCCTGGTGGTGTAAGTAATTCTTCAGTCCCCTATCCTGCTTTCTTTTACTAAAATAAACCCTCTCCTGATCTAATTTGATTCCTTTTTGTTCTCACCGCTCATGGGGAGAGACACACTTACCGTATGTTTGAATAATACTGTCATTCACCCAGGCACATGTGCTTTCACTTTCTGCTGCCTAATTCTAGGTTACTGAGAGGAAATGTGTAGGGTTTTTGTTCATCATAGCAGGCCATGACCTTGTTTCATACAGCGAGCAGGTGAGCAATGATGCATCTCTGTACTGTGATTGTTACAGAGATAGCCAGCATAGGATGCTCTGCTCAAGGATGTTTCTTCTGTATTTTAAGAATTCAGGCGTGTGTGAAGTTGTGGATGAAATGTGACTTTTTCACCTCACAGCACAAAGGTTTTTTTTTATGGAGACAGAGAGAGCAAGAGCGCAAGAGAGGAAGAGGCAGGGGGGTGAGTATGTCGGTTCCCAGGCGAGTGGCTCAACATACAGGATGAGTGTGGTTAACATACACACAGCAGGACATGAGAGCTCACAAACACACACATAAACTGAGATGCGAACTCCCTCACACATTCCCACAAGCTTGCTACAGACAGATAAAGGAACCCACACAGAAAGTAAAACATCAGATCTGTTTTTCACACACCCACACCCTAATATAATGGGTGTTAGGTGCAAGGAAGGTATTTTGGCACATTGTGACTTGTTTACATGGGTTTCTGTTGTTGTCGTACATACAGAGACAGCCATGCTATATCTTATTACAGGTTTCTTTTTGCTACTGTGGGTCTTTGGTTCTTGTACCATTGCTAACTCTGAGAGACGAGACAGTCCAAGTAACTTCAAAACAGTGCTGATTTATTCAAAGGATCACAGGTAAAGTTAACATTACACGCTCGGGTATCTTGCACCTCCAAACTGCTCGCAGGCAGATGTAAGATGAAAGACCCTGAACCCACCAGGCCTATACATTATATCCCCTCGGTTGGGCTAGCCCCATACTACACAGAAACGTCAACCGTGTCTTAAACATAAGAACATATTATGGCTAAGGCTACAGTTCTACACGTCATAATAATAATATTAAACACCCTGTCTGCTGACAGTCATCAACTCTTCTCTCTAGTTATCCTTGACCAGATGTACCCTGTAGAAACTCATAAGCATGACTAAGCATTTAACAGTCTAACTAGACATCCTATCTCCACTAAACATTTCTAATACATAAAGTATCTATCTAATTTCTATCTGACTAAAAATACCTAACACTACATTAATGTAACAATATCTTGCATCTTGCATATAATCGATTTAACTTTGCATAAGCTAACACAGCACGGTGTGTGTTTTAGGACCTGTGTATCATTGGTGATGAAGGCTGCAGTTCAGATGTTGATTGTCTTATTGTTTCAAGAAACTACTGGCGGTGGGCTGGGGCAGTGGGATTGATCCATGCATCTGTCTTACATGCACAGATATTAGAAGTGGCACCATCTGCTGGTTTGTGTCAACACATCAGTTTAGCTCATGTCTTACTGGGCAGGCAGTTACCAGCTGCCTTTACAAGTCGCCTGCTATAAGGCCTGTGGATTGCAAAGATTGCAAACTCGTGTATAATAATGACAAATGCATGCTGCTGTGTTTTGTTAAACTGTTACACTGTTGCCCATGTTAGGAAAAGGTCAAGCCTACTGTGTATTAAAGATGATTTCCAGTATAAAGGAATCTACAGGGCTTTTTTTCTTGATTAATTGTTTAATCAACAAGCTGGCAGAAATGTGTGAAAAATTCCCAGAGAAATGCCCATTTTTACAATGATATAAAGAGAGAAAAGCAGCAAATCCTCACTTTTTAGAGGCTAGAATCTGAGAACAATCAACATTTCTGTTTGACAAAATGATTATTATTACTGTTATCAAAATAATTGCTCATTATTTTCCTTTCAGTTTTCTAATCAATAAACTTGCCTACTTGATTCAGCTATACATGAAAACAGTATTATACATATTATCATAACATTATCTTGATTGATATTTTATATTATTAATAAAATAATCCCAAATTACATTTTAAAAAGTAAATCTTATGTTTATACATTTGGATCAAATGGGTTTACTTTAACCCCCACCCCCATTTCACGTTTATAAGCAGTAAATGGTTTATAACTCACTAAATTATATTTATATTATCAACAAATGTAATTAAAATTAAAATTAAACAAGTACGTGTGACATATTTCGGTAATAATCTAAGATATCTTTTATGCATGAAATGTAAAAGACAGTCTCTCAGTACGAGACTTCTGGTCATTGTAATGGGGATTGTAATCTGAGGTTCAGGAGCGGGACCACACCTGAACACGCACCACTTCCATTCCTCGTTACATTTAAACCAGCTGTTCAAACTAGTCTTCTGCTTCCCCTTTTTTGTAAGGTAGATTGCCCCCCTCCTGTGTGGCTGCTCACCTCGTTTTGTTTGTCCATTTGCCTGTCCAACTCTGTGCTGTTTTCTGCTCCATCGCTGCCTCTTCTCCACCATTTTTGAGGATTTTGCCTGCTGGTCCTGCCCCACCAACTTTACCCGTTTGTCACACTACTGGCCACCACGTCCTCCTTATTGGGCTGCGGTTGTCTTATCAGTTTCCCTTATTCATCAGTTCCACGAGGACTCCTCCTGCATCTTCTATACAACTCTCCTCCTGCAGTTCCAGCTTCTCACCGTGTCCTCCTGCATTTCTTCAGCCCGGACACTCACTGCTCCTTCCTACCTTTCATTCTTTTCCTTCATTTCTCATTCCTTGGGCATTGGGCTGCCCCTTCCACTCTGTGTTCTCTTCCTACCTCACTTTTTCACCAAGCACCTAGGCTGCCTGTTTATTTTCCCTACTTTCCTGGTACCGAGATATCATCTGTCCTCTCGCTTTCTCTCTCCAAGTGGTAGCCCTCTGATTAGATGGTCATCAGGGCCTACCGAACAGCCCAGCACCATGTCAACAGATGATATAGAGAGACGCTCCATTTTGGCTCCACCTTCTTCCTCCTTTGACCTCCCAGTTGTCTCCACTGCACAATAACGGTTTTCTTTTTTGTTCCGGCCACCGTTAATCACTTCACTGAGTCTGCACCATCTTTTTGTTGTCTTGTGTTTGTTGTGTCTCAACACTTTTCTTATCTCTTTCTATCCACTCACCCCAACCGGTCGAGGCAGAAGGCCAGTCACCAAGAGCTGTGGTCTGTCAGAGGTTTCTTCAGTTAAGGGGAGTTTTTCCTCCCCACTGTCACCAAGTGCTTGCTCAAGGGGGATTTGTTGGGGTTTCCTTTAATAATGTAAGGTCCAGAAGTGATTATGTTCAGTGCCCTGAGACATCGCTGCTGTAACTGGCTCTATAGAATAAATCTAATAGAAGGTTTTGGGGGTCCACTGGTGCCCAGAAGTGGTGCAGACCTCCAAAGCCTTTTCCCCAAACCATGGTCTATAAGCATTACACTGCATTCAAACATTCATTCTGCATTCATCCTTTCCTTAGGGTGGGGTCCCTGCTAGTTGAAGATTACATTGAGTTGAGAAGTGATAATATTGAATTATCTGTCTGTGTAAAAGGTAAGAAGACCTATGAGGAAGCAAAATGAACAGAGAAGCATTTTCACAAGATCTCTGGGGATTTTTTAGGCTTTTTATTTTATTTTTTTTGCACTCATACCACTTCCTCCATACACATGTTTAAAAGAATTAAGACTTGTGCTACAAGTATAGACAAAATCATTGTGCTGTATCATGTTGTTTTGTGAGGTGTGGAGACAGATGAATGGTGAGAGGTAAGAACAAGTCCAGTCTTATACTGATGACAGAAAAAGCTTTTTCGTCTTTGCACATGCACACTGCCATTGGCTGTGTTTATGAGCTGCTTGTGTGACGACTGCTCGTCTGTGTTTTGACTGCAGGGCTGTGTGTCAAGTACATGGATCATTATCCCTCAGTGGGCTGTTGCACTGCTCTGGCGCTCTCCATAAGATAAAATTAATATTGAAATTAATGAATAAATCATGAGAACTCATCTGGACCAAAACTGATGCAATTTGTAAATTCTTGGTGTCATTTATGCTTATTTTTAGGGCATGTCAACTGCATTGTGTAGCACATTGCCCCCATACAACCACCACACACATCAATATGCAATTAAGCAGTCCTGGAGTTCTCTCCCTCTCATCCCATAATAAACACATGAGAGCTATTAGTCCTCCGTCTGTATTTTCCTAACTTGGCCTAATGTGGTCTTTGGTGAATTATGTTGCTCTGTCTGTTCTCAAGGTAGGCTGGAGAGTCCCTCATGAAAGGAAGGAAGGCGCTGAACAGGAAACAGAGGAGGGAACGCAACTCTTGTGCCCTTACCTGAAGAGGCCATAACTAATGTGGTGTTAATGGGTTAGGTGTGTAGGAGCTGGATTGATCACAGAACTGCATTGGTTTGAGATTAGAGATTACAACATTAGATGTAAATAATACCACCTATAAGAAATTTCTCTGCAGTATTTTTTTGCAAGATACGCTAGTGTCCTCTGTTATAGGTTTGAGACTAGCCAGACTCAGCTGTTTTGCTGCAGAGAAGATAAACAGAAGGGAGTGAACAAGTGAACACAGGTCAGGTGAAAAAGAACAATTAGATTTGTCAAGGTGAAAGAAATGCAGAGGTGATAAAATTCAGTCTGGTTCGCTGAATATGCCTCATCAAAGTTCAGAGTGCTGCAGCAGTAGTGTCTCATCAGATAGGTGGAATGTCTGCACTTGTTTACACTAATGAGATGTAATTGCTGAAAGATCTGAGCACAAGCCACCAGAGTTTATTGTGGTAATGTGGACTGGACTGTCATTGTTGAAAGTAGTGAAGGGATCGGTTCTGAAAATTGTTGTGTTGAGCCAATGAGAAGAACCTTGCTTTTATTATCACTGAGTTTTAGAAAGTTGTTTAATGGCCAGATGTTGATGGCCTTGGAGGCAGCTGATATAAAGTCATCGTTGTAGCAATGAAAGTGCATTCCATGATGATGGAGAATATTACCGAGGGGAAGGACATACCTATGTAGTTTTAAAAAAATATATTTTAGACAAATGTAATAGAAATAAAGAGCAGGAGATAGGAGTTAGGGTCTGTCAGCAGAGTGTGAGGAGGTTGCATGTGTCTAAACCCCAGCGTTCTAGGCACAGCCAAGATGGACAGGGTCAGTGCTTACTGAGGTGCACATTTTTTCTTAAAAAAGACGAAAGACAGAAAACAAGTCAGGTGAAAAGAGCTTAGCAGAATGAAATGGAGGGTGGCAGCTGCACATGTACTAGAGATTGACTGGCTGGTTAAGGGCACCAAATGGTTTCTGCAGCACACTGGGGAATCACAAGGTTTATAAAAAACAACGAGATCCACTGGAAACTGCGTGCAAGAAGTGGATCTGTCTGTGTTTATAAAAGTAAACCATAAACACAGTATAGATTAATCTTATTTTGTTTCAACCAGAATGATCATCAGCTGCTGCTTGTTTTTTGGTGGATTTGGATTTGTGCAACTGTTTCATCCACATATTTATTATGCAGTGCACTCAAGCTGACATTAAGAACTTTGCTAGAATTGGAAAGCAGTACAAATGAAAAGCATTTCTAATTAATCTTATGTTACAGATCCTCAACAGATCCTCTGCATGTAGGACTGTGTGGCGCACAGTGAGATGTTGTTAGGGGCTCTTCTGATGTGCTGGCCTCATTTCTTCTCCTAATGAAAATTATTTGTTTGATCACAGCACTCTCTGTGAACAGCCTAAATTATACATGCACTCATAAAGGGAGGCAACTTATTCATGGTGTGTTTTGGTTGGATTTAAGCCTCAATGCATGTTTAAATGAAGGGGGAGCGCTTCTCACAGAGCAGCACCTAATTTGTTTCTGCTTTAGCCAGTTAGTTTTTACTTAAGATATTCATGTTTGGTAAGGTGTTCCTCGGTTGTGTAAACAATCCCTGACTTCATGTGCCAGACAGAATACCCTGCCAGATTCTGACTCAAGCTGGTTCTGTCACTGAGTGACAGACAGCTGCGCACAGACTGCAGGAAGTGACTTTATTCTGCTGATGTTGAAAGTATGAAATCACTCAGTGGAATTCAAACTTGAAACTACAGCTTGCCAAAATCTAACCTGCCGTGGTTTCACACCCTTACATTCAACATTCTGACATTAGGTGTTTATCACACCTGCACATCACTCATTTTTACTCACATCAGTCATGCACACAGCAGGAGTCAGGCCCTGGTCTCTGGTCCACTGGCGTGAGACACAATGTATCTGAATCCATACAGGCAAGCTTTGCAGCCCTTTTTAGTTACTGCACTCAGCTTATTGAAGGGCTTCCCCTGGTACAGGAACAGAGGCTCTTGCTAATATCAATTCAGTCTCATGATGTAGATTTGTGAAATGCCTCATAGCTGCAGGGCCAGCGACCTCCCTCGCTTCATGATCAAAGAGCAGAGAGATTTGAAAATGTGTGTAAAGTAGTGTGTGTCTGTAGCTGAGTGATAGCTAGTGGCTCAATAAACAGTGGCCTATTTTACACCTGTTTCTTTCTTTATTTTATTTAGATTATTGATTATTTTTGTTACCTTAGACATTTTGCACAATAAGGCATTTTTCATTTTATTTAATTTAGTGAGACATTGTATGGTAAATATGTATTTTATGCTTGTGACGATGACATTTCTGCTTTGGGTAGTTTCAGATGGAAAAGTTGCATTATGTTATGCATTTAGAGTGGTTCTGATATGTGATTTGTTTAATATCTGCCATCAATGGTACATGGACTTAAACTTGTATAATGCTTTTTTATGCATTGAAGCACACTCAAAGCACTTAGACACTATTTAACCATTCACCCATTTACACTCACACACCAGTGGGACAGCCACCTGGAGCAACTTGGGATTTAGTGTCTTGCTCAAGGACACTTCACCACGAGGACTGGAGAAGCTGGGAATTGAACCGCCTAAGGCAGCTGTACCTTCTGAGCCACAGCTGCCCCTATTTTCTATCTCCTTAAATTGTTTAGTCCTTTATAAACGAGTCGTTCCTGAACACTGTTAAAGGGGGCACATAGTATACACAAGTCAGTGGGTGATACAGTCCACATCGCTGCTGACTGCATAGGACAGTGGAAACGTGTGAAATTAACATTTTATCTTCAATCTGCTTAAAAGATTTGTAGTATGACTATAGTGGGAAATAACAAAAATTGGATTGTGCAGCTAGCTAATGTCGGGTTAATGCTTAGGTGATTTCTTTTTTATTTTAAAACTACTATACCTCATTTCTGCTGCTCTGTGGCCCCTGCTGTGAGATGCTGGTTGAGCTGAGGCTCTGGCCCTCTGAAAAGACACCCACTAACTTGTATGTTCGTATTAATGCCCCAAGTGCTTTTGTGTATTTTGCTTCAGTGAGAAGAGCGAAGAGTATATAAGTCAACTGTCTTTGTCATCTGTGTTTGCTATGAACTCCAGCCAAAATGTCATCCTAGATCAGTATCTGTTGCAGTGCTTTGTACATGAGTCAACCTGTCTTATTTCATTGCTGCTGTCTCTGTGGTGAAACATTTTAACTGGAGTGTTTTTCGCACAATCAGGACCAATGCCTGTATAATTTTGAGAGTCACTTAAGAAAGGCCTTTTAAAGAATGTGAAAATTTATATTTTCTTTTATAAGAATTGACTGGCATATTAACAAGCAACCAAGTAACCCAGAGGAGATGAGTGCTTCTAAATATACTGTGTTTTCAGTAGACCTTGGTGTCTCCAAACGGCCTTTAGAAGTGATTATATGACCCTCAAACAATATGATATTACCACTTCACTTTCTGTGGCCATTAGGTAATTTATTACTTTATTACTACCTTATTTCACTCTTTCTTTTAGCGTTCCTGCCCTCCCAGTAAAGAACCTGACTGGATCTGGACCAGTGCATCCAGCACTAGCAGGTTAGACAACATCTGCTTCACAGCACCTATTTGGAAATCTGCAGAAATGATCATTTTCTTTAAGTGATTTTTGTGTTCAAAGTTATATGTTTTTTCTTGTTTATCTTGAAAGACATTCATAATCAAAGCTTTTTCTACTCTTGTTTGTGTGCATGTGTGTGTATGTGTTGTACATATGCATCAGGTATGACAGGTATCCTGATGTGCGCTGCAGGTCTGCCAGTTTGCCTGACAAGGGCCCCCAAGCCCATACTGCACCCACCACCCATCAACAAAAGTGACATGAAGCCTGTGCCAGGGATCAACGGCATGCGCCGCAAAACTAAGAAAAAGCACCTGAGAAGAGGTGAGATGGTGGAGATCAAGGAGAGGAGGGGAGGAAAAGACATGAAAACAAAGCAGTGGAAATGCTAGCATTGTATTTTATGGTGTGTTAGTGAATAAACAGGAAATGCACTGCAGAGAGAAATAGACCAACCACTGACATTCAGCAGACTCTCTTGTGCCAAGCTTTACAGGACGTTTTTGAATCAGCTGTCTGTAAGTCTGTTGTTTAGGGTGCAAACAAAACCAAAGCTGTTTTTTGTTGTTGCGATTTTTTTTGTTTGTGTGTATGATTTCATCTCTATAAGGGTGTTACAATAAATGTACCATTATCTCAACCAGGGACACTAACAAAAAAGGTATTCCTGTACCTCTAAGTGGTGAATTCTGGTTTCAGATTTCAGTGAAACTATGACTCTAAGAATTTTACAGATTGACAGAGGCATTTATAAGGAGAGTAATTGCTGCATAACTGTTGCACTGAACTGATTTTAGAAAGACTCTGGGTTTGAATAAGTGTTGGTTGATGGAAGCCATGGAAACCACTGGCCTCTCAAGGGAGTGTTTATTCTCATTTTTTTTGTCCTAGTGAGGCTATTGGGTTTCCATCCATGGACAGTACTTGCCCTCTCAGTCAGCACCTCAGTGCATTTGTGTATATACAGATTTAGTTGTGTGGAGATAATGTGGTAACATATTACAGATTCCATAGTTTTCTATAATTATATTAAAATGTTATATAGTACTATAGGGTAACCTAGAACCAATATTTGATTTGATTTGATTTGATTTATTCATTCAAGCATGTAAAACAGTTGATATGTCAACACATGTAATTTCACACATATCCCACAATAATAATCCATTATCAATTTGCTTATACCTAGTACATGCTTGAACGGAGTAGGAAGAAGTTAGACTTATCTTGTCCTACCCCATGACATCATCTTACAACTTTTAAGTCCTAAGCAGTATCTCTACATAAATAATTATCTTCTACACCACACAAGTAATATACTACAGAATTATTACAGAGTGTTAACATTCTTACATAATTACATTCATAGATAATTATCTTCTACACCACACAATATACTACAGAATTATTACAGTGTTAACATTCTTACATAATTACATTCTTAAATAATTATCTTCTACGCCACACAAGTAATATACTAAAGAATTATTACAAAGTGTTAACATTCATACACCACACCCACAATGTTCTATCTGGTTAATCATTAAGCCTGTTCTTGCATATATCTTGATTGACACATACCTTTATATTTATGTTTAAACTCGTCAATTCTATTACTATTTTTTATGTCCACATTTAAATTATTCCATAGTTTTACACCACTTATGGAAATACAGAATCTTTTTTTGGTTGTACGTATAGCATGAATCTTTAAACACACTTACAATTCAACATACTGTAAGAGTAAAGTTTCTTATCATAAATAAATATTTAGATGGGTTTAAATGGGAAATATGTTGTTTCATGGGAATTCCTCTGCAATTAACCAACTGACAAACTCAACAGAACTATCTAAGCTCAAGTAAGACCAAAGGATACAGTCATGTGAGGCTGTAGCTACACACTAACATCGCCATTCTAACATCTTCAAAATGACAATGCCAACATGTTTAGCAGATAATGTTAACCATGATTAACATCTTAGTTTAGCATGTGAGCATGCTGACCTTTGCCATTTAGCATTAAATGCAAAGGTCATTCATTTTGTAGGTGTTTTTGTCCTAAAGAATAATACTGAAAAAACTGAAATTTAGACATAATGATTGCGCTAAATGAAAAGATGGCCAATTTTAAATTATTAGAAGTTATCCTCTGAGGACAGCACATTTCATGGCAGTTCATCCAATAAACTGTTTTCACAGCGACAATTTTACATAAAAGAGCAGCTAATCACAGGTGTTACTAATCACATTAAATGAGGCTCTGTAGAGAACCTTAATTAATGTTATTAGTAACACCTGTGTTTAGCTAGTATTTACTATCAAAATGGCTGCTGTGAAAAAGGTCTTTAGTTCTAGAGACATTTCATTAAAACCCCCCAAAATGTGAACCTGTTATGTGCTTTTATTTTGTTGGATTTCCTGTTCCACTGGTAGGAAGCAAATGTGTGGGTTTTTTTTTCTCATGTAGTGAGATCTGGGCTTATCCTGCTCTGCTTCTGCTACAGAAAAAGTCAAAGACTTCTGATCCAACTAATGAAGCCATCAAGTAGTAACAGTGTAAAAGGTGTAACTGAGTCTCTTGCCTCCTTTTTCTGTTTGTTCACCTCCCTCTCTTCATAACTTTCTGCTTCCCCTGTCTTCCTTACACTCTCTCTCCACTGCTTTCCCTCCCTTTGTGGCTGGCTGTCTCTCAGATGAGCAAACAAACGCTAGGCTCCAGGGAAAAAGAGGTTGCCTGTAAGCGTATTAGGGGTGTAAGCTGTGGGTGTGCTCTCAGCCATGCTAGCCTGGTTGCACACATGGATTATCACAGAGTGTGGGGATGACTTATGTGGCAGTTTGAAGGTGACTTCCTTTTCAACATCACAGACATGTATACTATATTCTCATGCACACTCTAACGGTTTTTCCTGGGAGAATATAGCACTCAGGCCAGACTGACCACAGGAACGTTGTGATTCATCAAACTCTAGCTGTTATCTTGTGTTCACATGGCAATAAAACACCATCTAGTTCATCTATCTTGTCTTTTTCATTGGTTGAATGTGGGTCTAAGTAAGTGGCCAGTTTGTCTTTTCTTTGATGGTCATCTCGTGTCTCTGCTTTATTTTGCAACAAGGGAAAAACCCAGAGGATGTAGTGCGAAGATACACAGAGAAGATTAAAGTGATGCCAGACGAGGTAAGAAAGACACCAAAAGGACCCATGATTTAACAGTTTTGTGTTGCCTAAGTGATGCAGTCTGTCACTGTCGGACGTCTCATAAATGCATAGTCATGTAGAATGGTAGTTGAAGTATTTTGATTGGCTATTCCAGGACTGTACCATCTGCATGGAGAGGCTGGTCATGTCATCAGGCTATGAAGGCGTCTTGCAGCACAAAGGCATCAAGCCAGAGCTGGTGGGCAAACTTGGCAAGTGTGGGCACATGTACCATCTGCTGTGCCTGGTGGCTATGTACAACAATGGCAATAAGGTGGATAAAAGCTTGCAAGCCATACATTGTTATGATGTCACTCTAGGCTCAAATTATAAACTTGCGATTTCTTACAGCTTGACTAGGGTGCAAGGCTCTGGCAGAGGATCGGCCCTCAATGTTGTTGCACACAGTATCTCATATAGTTCTATCTAATATAAGACAAATTCCAGCATGTTTAATCAGCAATCATCAGTGTAATATTAACAGCAATAGCTTATTTAATTGTATCTGATCAATATATCTATTGCCAGTTACCATTTAAAGGCCAATTCACACAAGTAGCAAAAATAACATCATTTCTGGAATGATATTGTGAAATTTTTAAAGCTGTAATACATGACTTGAGGTATTAACTCTGTGTATCTGCTGTTCATTCTGGTCCATTGTACTGGGATAAAGGTCGACATCTCAAAGATGATAGCTCAAATAAAACTCAAACTGTCTCCTTGGCTGGATCTTGTGTAATTAATATCATGCAATTGTGCTAATTTTTTCTGCAAAGCAGGATGGCAGTCTTCAGTGCCCAACATGCAAAACCATCTATGGGGAGAAAACGGGCACCCAGCCTCCTGGGAAGATGGAGTACCATGTCATCCCCCACTGCCTGCCCGGCTACCCAGACTCCAAGACAATCCGCATTGTCTATGACATTCCAGCTGGGATTCAGGTCAGAACTGTATCACTTTACTGAATTCACCATGCTGCTTTTGTGCCCTGATCCACTGTCTCTCCTCTGTGAAATCGGTGTCCTTTCTACATCTGCTTATCCGCTTAAGTCTGAGAGACAGTTATTCGTACAGGAAGGTGGGGTGTGGAACTGTGTGAGACACTGAAGAAACTGTTTTCTTAGGAATCATAGCTTCAGTGGACAAAGGCAGACAACCCAGGGTCTAAACAAATGTGAGACACTGTAAGGCCATTTTCATCCTCTGTTTATTTGCTTTTTTTTATTTATTTAGCAGTGATATAATTGAATGAACCTGGACTTAATTCACTGAAGGTCATCTAACGTTTGTCACTTTTGCAGTGGAGAGGAGAGGAGAGGATGTTTTGCAGTCTGGGTTTTTGTTGGTGGAGAGAGGGCTGAGTGTTTTATTCCCACTGCTGAGATGAGCATTAATAGAGTCAATAAAATGACTTTCTTCCACCAGAAGACCAGGCTTAGTCTCTGGGGGAAAGAGACTACTGGGGTTGCCGTGTGACTACTCAAGTCAGCAAACACTCTTGCAAGGAAGCATTTCTGAAGGTCTCCTACCATTATTAAGAATCAAAATATTTATTTTGTGTAAAAATGAGACACACAGTGGTTTCTATAGCTAACTTTGGCTGTGCTCGTTATTGGCCAGGGCCATCGCTGCTGCACAGTAACTCTAAAACCCACATTTTGACTCTGGCAGGGGTGGCCAGTCAGATTCCGGTGGTGGCTTGTGCCATCCCCTGGCTCAGCCCGTAATGGTGGAAGATGCATTGGTGTTTCCACTACAGTTAAGGTTGTAGGTCACTGGCATACATGCGCCATCTGTCCAAACCGAGTCTTTAATAGAGGCAGAAAAACACGGATAACTCTTTGGCAGAGCACTGACTTGCTGCAATATGTTTTAACCTTAACTAGTAATAAGGAAAAGAAGGCAATGACCTGATCAATTTGTCATGATATGGAAACTTAAATTACATAGACTTCCTTTATGAATGAGTTTAGGAGTAATCTTGTGGGGCTGCATGAAGGGTTCTAGATTTCAGTGGTGGCCAGTGCTACATCTGCCCCCACCTTCAGACCCACCTGTGGACATTGTAGATTTTAAGCAAGCTGGAGATTTTCTGCCCACAATGGAGCCATGAAAGCAACTTTCTGAAATAAGATGTTTAAAGAGATAATTGGATATGTCCAGTAATATATCCCTCAAATGGCCATTGTAAGCAACATGAACAATAAAGCTTATCCTGTGGGTGCTGTTGACATTTCCAATCAAGTTGTAATTGCAAAAGGAGTTGTAACATTTGTTTTTGTTCTTGATGTTTTCACCAGACCAATGAGCACCCCAACCCTGGGAAGAAGTTCAGTGCGAGAGGGTTTCCGCGACACTGCTACCTTCCCGACAATGAGAAAGGCAGGAAGGCAAGCTGCGACATGGAAATCATAATATTATGTGCATTAAAGTAATACAGTCATGCATTACTTTCTGGGAGCAATTGTTAAATATGTCACTACATTACAATTTATGATTACTGTTACTGTGCAAATTTATTACGCAAAACTAGTTGTCATAGCTTTGTTTACCTTCAAAAACAGGGACTACATCATACCTTATTATATATTTTCATTTCACTGATATTTATGTAACTGGTGGGTCAACATGAGTAGCCTGTGTTCGATGTCTCACCAGACCACAGTGAGACGTCAAAACAAATACTGAGAAAGAGGACTAACTAATCATTGTAAATTACTGCCAACACTACTCACCAGGTTGTGCTTCTGTCCCAGCTGTTTAGACCCATTGGTCTTGTATGTAGTTTGTTCCTTCTTACTTGCCATAGAGATATTATTGCACCCCTGCCACTCTTGTGTGTGTCTTCAGGTCCTGAAGCTGCTGATCATGGCCTGGGATCGACGCCTCATCTTCACCATTGGCACGTCCAGCACCACAGGCGAGTCGGACACGGTGGTGTGGAATGAGATTCACCACAAGACAGAATTCGGTTCTAACTTGACAGGTCACGGCTACCCCGACCCCAATTACCTGGACAACGTGCTGACAGAGCTGTCGGCCCAGGGGGTTGGTGAGGACAACCTGAAGGACTGATGGCCAGCTGAGCTGGTATACAGCAACACAAGCCACAATGCCCCACCATCTGCCAGAAAGCAGGAACACTGCTTGATGGACTGAAATGCAGCAGACACCTCTTTACTCCCCACAGACAGAAATATCATGCGGCGGTGGCACGAGTGCAGAGGAAGCAAAATTATGTGGTTATGACCAATGCTTTGATTTGTATACCCTAAGATTTCCCTCATACTGTCTCTTGATCCGTCCCTTGAGCATGCTGTGTTCATGCCAAAATTTCTGAGGGATTTCTGTCTTGATGTTGGTAACTACAGGTAAATGGTATGTCACACTTTTCATATTTAAACTGAAGCTGTTCCTCTGCACTTGGAGTAAAACGATGAGGAGCCCAAACTATACGAAGGTATGTTTGTAAATGCGGAACTCCAGAATGCATGGCCCAGACTAACGCTGCATTAACCAATGTTGAGTGGATATCTGCAATAGGGTGAGGTGCCAGTAGATCAGTTGTTGCTTGATATTGAGAAGATACATTTATGAGAATTTCAACTTTACAACCATTTCCTTATTTACTCTGATAATTATTGTCTGTAATGTGGTGAAACTTGGTTTTGTAAACGAGAGGATCTTGACTCTGGTGATGTCATTTAAGGTTACACAGGGCATTGCTGAGGCCACTTCTAATACCAGAGATCAGTTCTTCTGTAAATGAAAGTGTATTGAGCCTGAAGTATATGTAATAGATTCCAGAGAGGTAACAGCTATGGAATATTAGTGTAATGTAAATGAATGTCATGTGGACTGTGATGAAATGCGCATCTTACCAGTCCATTCGAGGCTTATTACAAGGTGTTGTAACTTGAAAGGCTGAGGTTGCGGAACAGGATTTGCTACACTTCAAGGTTAAACTCATTTGTTTTGTCGACACACTGATGATGCTAACCTCTATAAATATAAAGCCTGCATTACTATTGTCCCTGTTGAAGCAAACCCAGGCATTGGCACGATCCATAATGCTGACCGTACATGAGGGGCGAGTGTGTGACTGTGAGCTCTGAGGCATTAATACACCAGCTTTAAGTCCTTGAGGAGAAATGCTGAAAACACTTCTCACAGATGGACGTTCCTCTTTCAAACACAAACAAGTTTTCTCCTTGGAGATCCAATCTGGGCAGTGCTCCCACCCACCTGCAATCTACAAGTCTCTTGTGACCTTGTTTGCAGCTAGGCAGTGCACTGGGCTTTACTATAGCTTTAGTATAGCAAGCACTGAAACACTTTGTTCCCAGTGTGAGCTCACTCAAGAGTTGTTAGAGGCAACCCTGATGTGTGGCCTCACCCCCACTCTCCACCTCCTCCTCCTCAGCCGAGCACTTCATTCTAGGAGCAATGCAAATGTGGGCCTAGTATGTAGTTGGCTGGGAACAATCTTTCCCCTTCAGATTTAATGCACATGAGCTGAAGACTTTTTGAAGGTCTTTGGTGGCATCTTGTGATGTTTCTTTCCTCTGAGATAAAAGATATCCCAGTGCTGCATAATTCTCTGAGTATATCTGATCAATTTTAATGAGCAGGGATGTTGATATAAGGTATGTTGTGTGGGCACCCAGCTGTGGACTTAATTTTTGGACAGAATCATGGTCTTCCATAGCACTTTCGGGCAACCGTTTTGTTTAATTAGTTGATTCATTTTTAGAAAAATGTCTTAAATTGCAACTGTTTTTTTAAGTTGATGTTTATAAACTGGCTTGCAATGCTTTGAAAAAAATATATTACACATTTGCAGATGTGATATACCTTTAAAATCAACCACAATTTGAGTGAGTGGTGTAAGTTTAATTTATTTTTCTATACTCTTCTATACTGAAAATACAAAGACTGGCCCACATATCTACACGCAGGCACATATTAACATGAACACATTAAAAACTGGCAAAGTTTGTCAGTATGTCAGGGACTGTTTAAATATGTATGACATGTTATTGATGTCTTATATTACAAGTAGTCATAGCATAAGTTTTTGTTGTCTAATGTATTTGATCCCCTGTGGGACTCCAGTAAATACAGTAAATGTCTTGATTACTAGTGGGGGAGCTATAGCAGCATGACAATGGCTGTTCCCCTCAAATGGGCCAATTCTCGTTTTCTGATTGTCCAGAACATGGGAGTGATGACAGTCGGCCATTTTAGTTTAGTCTGAAGGTGAGACTGGGTTAAAAATCAACTACAAATATTCTTAGTTGGTGGTATTTGCCTCAGCCAGTTGTCAATCAGAGATAAGTACACAAATTCTTTTGTATTCGAAAGTCCTGAACTGTTTTTTGACTACATGCTTCCTGGGTCTTGCATCAACAGATATTTTCTATTTTACATAATTTTTAAATTTACAGTATGTTCTTGCTTTTAAGGTCTGTTAAATCAAATTGTTCATGCAAATTTCACAGCAGATTTCCCCAGGAGTTGGTAGAGACCATAACACAGCTAAAACAGTCAATATTACAATTTTAACCTGTTCAGAAACATGACTTCAAATTAATAATGTTGTATCCTAAAAGCTGAAACACATATGCAAATAAGCAACTGTTTGCTGATAACTATATATTTTTCAACCTTAAAGGTGATGATGTGCTCATAACTTGTTCCTAAAGCAAACCACTAAAAGTATTTGTCAGTATGACTTTTGACCCAGGTGTTGAACACAGTCATTGTTTGGCCTGTTCCATTTCAAGTTTGCTCCTTTTTGGCACCCTTTATAAAATAGGACAGCAAGACAGAATGCTTCCAGTCTATCAGGGAATTTTTTCCATGTTGAGCAAAGTTTCATTATCTAAAGAACTCCGTGTTTGCTTTTTCAGCTTCTCCTTTCCATGTGTCGGTCTTGTAGTATGAACAATGCAGGCCCTTTAGACTTTTCAGGTGTGTACAGACTTCTATGGGAGTGATTAATAAAACACAGTTTGGTATTTGATTAAGGATGAGAGAGAGAGTGTTCATGCAATTTACTATTTTTAAGATCTATGATTAATGCATAGCAGGGAGGCAAATTTTTGGTTTAAATGACAATGGATGTTTTCTTTATGAGGTGCCTACCTCCATGTTTCTGAACAAAAGGGTTGCAGTTCTGAGGATATTCACATGTATTGGAAAACATTTTTAATGTCTCTCTTTGAATAATGATTGTCTCTAAAAGAACTATTACATAACATTGCTGTATTACTCTTTTAAGATTCATTCCTTATAATTTTCCATGTTATTATAAAGTAAGTGCGATAGCGGATGAAATCACTTTGTCCTAACATATGAAATTTTTACAGTTGTGCTCTCATAGTGTCCGCTGCAAACTGTACTTTTTTCTAAATGATACCTTAACATTTTGTGTGGTTATACTATATGTTTGTATCTGTCTGTCTATGGGAGTGTGTGTGTGTGTGTGTGTGTGTGTGTGTGAATGTGTGCAGAGTGTTTGTCAAGTAGATGAAGCTTAGGTTCATGTCCTTTAAAGATACAGTAATGTTCTCCTAGAGGTGCATGTTAACCAAACTGTGAGCAAGTTTATTGACAATGCATAGCTCTTGGCATATGAAAACACGATAGCTTCTTTAGAAATATCACCCAGGTCTTCTGGTGATTTTAGCACTGTGGTTTTGCATCTTACTCCAGTTACAGAGATTTCTTTTTCCTCCGCCAGGTTTGTTTTACACGGATGGGCGTTTGGCTGCTTTGCTCACTCTCTTGACAACATGTAAAACTTCTGAATGCTTTGCATTTTTAAGTGCCCATTTAATTGACATTTTAAAATCATGATTTTTGTGGTTTGATTTTTTTCTTAAGCAGTGTCTACCTATTGCTATTTTAAAACGATCACAAAGAGAAACTCAAAAAGCAAGATAGAGACACTGATTAAACCATAAAGGGCTTCTGAATCTATCAATCTTTACTGAATTGTGATGACCCTGTTGCATGTCTGTGTTACCTGTTGAAAAATAAATGTGCCCTCAACAGAGGGAGTTTGTTTGACCTTTTGTCGCCTCAGCTCTCCCTCTTGCACTCTGTGGCAAGCCCTCCTTCATTTACCTCCACCGTCTCCTTCCCAGGCAGCTCTGTGCACTGCACCTTGTTATATAAATATAAATGAGCTTTTCTGGAGCTGTGGAGTGCAGCAGAAACGGTTCTCACTGGCAATAAATTTGCTTTATGTTCATCTTGTGTCATTGGCTGTTGGTGCTGGGGTGAAGAGCTGTGCTTGGTGCATTCTAAAGCAGGTGGCCTGCCCAGCAGCTCAGGGGTCAATCTCCTCAGAGCTCTGGCACCTGCACCTACAGCCCTGCCTTCTCTAATATCTAATAAGAGAGCTAACAGGGAGACTGCTGCAGGTAGGTCTGCTCTCAGCATTTTAATAAGGCCGAAGGGAGAAATGGCTGCAAACATTGTTTTTGTGGCAGAATTTAACATTGGATTCTGACTCCTGGTGGGTTTTAAAATGTGTGGTTATGGTGGTTTGGTTTAATTATTCATTTAAACAAAGGGCTCCTCTGAGATCTGTCAGACACATAATGACATTTCCTATAATGCCATGATTGAATGAATGGCAGTGCTTCCACTGAGTCAGACTTTCTACTTTAAAACTAACTGGAGGACGAATGGACATAAGGCTAAGACATAAATTGGAAATGCAGCATTAATCATTTCTGCACTTAATCCAAACAAAGTTAACTAAAATGGAAAATGCTCTTAATGCATTTTTTGTGTCATTTTTGTTTCTCTGGATACAAATTTGACACTATGCTTACTAGCTGAAGTAAGAATTTACTGAATAATACAGTTGTGTTTAGTTCACAGTAACAATCCACTTGGAACAAACCATCATAAAATAAAATACAGGCAGTGGCATACTTAACTTTTTTATCATAAGAGACCTTGTTTGGTAAATATAAATTAAGTTCACAACTCACATATCATGCTTACTCTAGTATTTAAAAGAATGAAGAGGCAAATCAATAAAACAAATTTTGGGAAACTGCAAATACCAAAACACTTAGGAAATAATGTTATTAATGTTAATATAGCCTAGTGATTGTCTTGGTGTGTGTATAACAGTGTTACATCTAAGGCAGGAAGAAGTTTTACTCCACGTTGCTGCAACAGAATCAAACATACACAGCTCCAGAGGCAGGGCAGCAGCTGACGCTGTCTGAGAAATCACAGCTATTCTCTCCATTACACTCAGTGACCTTCTGTGATTAAGGGAAAGACACTGAACATGACTCACTATGGGAAATGGCTTTGGGTACAGTTTTGTCTCACAGACACCCAAAAAACTGAAGAATTTGAATGGCTCAAAATCAAAAGCTTTTCAGTTACTAAAAACAAATTTGGCATCTCAGACATATGCTGACACTTGTGAGCCAAATGTAGTGGCACCAAAATTGCAAGAAAATGTAAACTTATCAGATGGGAATATCTCACATAACTCTAATGTCTTTTGTCTCAGTTATAGTACTGTATGTATGGATGTCACTGTATATTGGTAACAGGTAAATATTACCCATATAACTTTAAGAATGGCTAAATATGAATTACATCAGAAGCAAATATTTAAGTTGACTGGCCATAGCACCAAACAGAAGCACATTTTAGTATAAAGGGAGCAAAGCAAAAAATGTAAAAAATTATTAATTTTGCTTCTGTACAGACAGCATTATACTGCAGCATGTGCACTAGCATTTCATAAACTCATGGTAGTATGAACTACGTATGATGTTAATGTCACTGCTACATTGTGGCCGTGGTGATAAACTGTCTCAATAAACTACAAAACATTGATAACAGCAATATCAAAACACCTTACATTCAGGTACTGTAGATCACACTACTACAAGCTTTTTGCATAAAAATGTGTGACCGAGGTCCTGTACAGTATCTCAAAATATAAAAGCTTCTTTTCACATTTCACAACAAGTGGATGCAGGCCATGCAACAGATTGCTTGTTATCTACATAAAAAATATTGTCAGATCATGCTTCAAAGCGCCTTAACCCCTCTTATCATAAAGAACCATAATCTCTCCCCAGCGCTGTTGAAGATGGTGGCAGTCAGGGAATACAGTAAGATTCCCTAAAAGGCTGTAAGAGGTTGCACCCTGTGGTGTGTCCACTTTTCACTGACAATCAACAGAGTGACTACCTGGTTCTCACTTGCTTTGGTGCAGGATGTTGGGCCCCACCCCCTCAAGCATTAGTGGATCCCAGTCTATGTCGAGTCTAGGGATTCAAAATGACACTGGTGGTGTCCTCCTTTTCTCTGCGCTGGAAGGTGGCGTGAGCCTGCTCCAGGTCTGCTATCACCGCCAACAGCCGAGTGGCAACACTCTGACCTGGCTTCATTAGCTGAACCGTGCATTCTGCACCATCTACGAGACAGTTGCAGAAAGTGTAAAATGCCATGTGACATCAGTAAAAGGCAGGAAATGTACAATTTAGAACCAGCAACTGGACTCTCACCTGGGTGGATGTCAGGATTGACCTTTTCTCTATTGCTGTATGTCTGATCAGATTCTGGCACCTCTAGATATTTTTTCCTGAGGTAAGAAACATTAATCAAATGATCACTGATGAGTCTCTGAGAGCTACTTTGTCTTTACAGAGTTACATTTAAACATTTGATTGCACCGTCAAGAGGCAGCAGTAGCAATGCATTCCCATGTTGCAACATAGGCCTCTAGTGTTCAGATAGTGAACTGCAAACAGGCTGAGTAAGTTGGCAGGCTATTTTCCCCACTGACCTGAGTTTGTCTCTGCCCTGTAAAAACTGTTTGAATATGGTTTGTGTTTCAACGTCAGGATCCAGTGGGTCACTCCAGTCACCCAGAGTCACAGCAGAGTGGCTTCTACTGCAGCCTGTAACTGAGATCCAGCCTTGTATTTAACAACAGTGCTCTACATATGAACCTTTGATCCATACTTTCATGACATCCAGACCCGACTGCTGCAGCAGCGTTCTCTAATATCCTTAATAAACTCCAGTCCATCCAGAACCCTGCTGATCACCTCCTCACACATTCCTGCTCCTACTCCCATGATCACATCACAATTGTCCTAAAGAACCTCACTGGACCCCCTCTCGATCTGACAATTTGATAAAGGTTCTCATAGTACTATTTGTTTGTACCAGTGGCAAAGTACAGCTCCAGGTCTGATCCACAGGGAACACATGTCACATAAACAATGACTGACAAAATGATTCAGCAAGAAATGTTATGTAGCTTTCTGACAGTCACTAAATGTTTTGTTCAGAGAAACATTATGATTCCCGGAGCTTGTTCTCCACTGAAGTAACAAAAACATGGTATCTACAAATTAGTCATTAAATTTGAATCAATAGAAGCTCATTTGTTCTTTGAAGCTAGCTACAACTTAGTCAACCAGGAGTAAAGTATGAAAAATAAATGTAAGCCTGCATGTTGATGGACAGTACAGCTTATGCTCTAGGATGCTCATAATTTCTGATGAACCTTTTTGGGGGTTCTTAGGTGTAACTCATCACATTTGTAATTGTATATCAATGCTACATTTCTCATATATGCTCACAAACATTACAGTAATAATAGCTTCAACAGTTTACACCAGATCCTGGGTCCTCAAAATTTGTATAGCATCAGAATTAATGAAAGCAGGATTACCAGCACGATCGGCCTGCAGGCAGCAGGTCCACTTGCCGCTGCGGTGGGCCCCTGGGTGGAAAGAGGGCAGCATGTGCTCATTGTAGATGCTGACTTTCCTGATCGCTGACAGCCACTGATTCAGCTCATTCACATTCTATTCAGAAAAAAACATGGACCATAAATGAAATCATAGCAGGTGAAGATTTGCCATCCAAAAGTAATCAACTAATAAGACTTAACTGATAATTTCCTGAAGTGAACATTACCTCAATAGGACTTTTCAGCAGTGTTTAGTGAAAAATAATACTTTTTTATTTGAAAAAACAAACAAACAATTGAAATCAATATTTTTATTGATCTAATAATAAATGGTGAGCTCAATAATGGACCAAAGAAATATATTTTTTATGGCAAATAACATCATGAACTTTGTTGGTGACTGGATGGTGCTAGTACCAACGTACTTTGCACTGGATGTACATGGTGTTCAGCTGTCCATCATTGTCCTGGGTGATGACCTGCATTACATTCTGCTGTTGAAAGGCATTTTCGTCCACTCTCTCCACGGCACACACGCACTGAATAGGGACTGAGGAGTGCACCTGCAACAATTTAGCCACAAACCGCAAAACAGATTAATACAGTATGTGCACACTGGTAATGATGGGCCATGGTTTTTATTTTAGGTTTAGACAAAGGCTTAAGCAGAATAAAGTAACAGTTATCACAGAGCAAATTATTGGAGCAGTGTCTAAAGCTGAAATAGTTTGCACACCATAATGCTAGTGACAAACAGTGTGAGAAAAGGAGGAAGTGAAAATGAGATCAACATGACAGCAAAGGCCACTTTAAAGTGTAAATCAGCCACTTGTGATGGGAGCTTGCCTCAGTGAGATTGGAGTGCTCCAACATGTAGGAAAGGGGCCAAGACATTGTCTGCAAACTGATTTGTAATGTTAGCATGAATATCCACAGCCTTCAATTAACCCTCCCCTTTATTCCAGTCACACAAAGCAGATACTGGTTTAAAAAAACAGAGAGAGAGCTTTTACTGGGCTAGAGAGAGGCTGCTCCCCTTTCTGTCTCCTTCTCTCTCTCAGCCTCTGGTTGGTGAATAAGAAGAGATCATTATCACAAGGTTAGGCATCACATGGTAATAACGCCGATAACAAGGACATCAACTCAAAAACATTGAAGTCAGCTGGGGATGACTAAAATGTTTATGAGCAGACAGTGTCTAAGCCCTATCAGCTTCAAATAATGGATGAGTCACTTTCATGTGTCTTTGATTCCAAGCTTACTTATCTGTTCTTGGCTTGTATATAAGACAATCAGAATAAATCAGCACAGTTACCCTTATTTTTGATCCAGACATCACAATAGTAGATAGTTTTAACAACACTACCTAACTACTTAGCTAACTAATAAACCGAAACATAACTTAAACCAGTGGCTGGGTGTCAAAATAGCTAGTAAAGTGGATAATATAACATCATGTATATTGGTGGAATATAAAGCTGTAGGCTAAAGGTTCAGCTCCAACCTGCCAGTCAGGGGTCTTGGCGTAGGACAGCATCTCACTAGTCAGCCAGAAGTAGCGTTTCTTAAAGGCAAAGCGAGACAGCAGTTGGGGCCCCTCTGTCTTGTATTTGTGGAGATACCCCTCTTTAACTGTGACTGAGGGCATGATGACAGCCCTCTGAGGCACCTCGGACACTGCAGAGAGAAGGGGAAAACAGAAGGTAAAAAAAACTGTATTTGTAATGTTAATTTAGTAGCACATTCATCTATATAGACACAAGGTGGTGCTGTGACAACAAGCAATACATTCAGTTGTTGGAAGTACGTGCCATTACTTTCAGCACTTAGTTACAGACGGCATCTAAATCTCTTCCCATCACCCTGTGATGGGCAGCTTTAAAGAGGCATAACAAGCGTCCACTTTTGTCCAACAATCCACCTGAAAAGCATGAAATGTCAAACTAGTCTTTAAGAGAGAAGTGGGTGTGATGTGAAGACAGAGGGTGAAACAAGAAAAGCACGTCTGAGGGGGAGGATGCTTCAGCAACCTCACTGACACATGACACTAAGGTAGCAGCCATGACATGTGGTGCGTACAAGTGCCTGTGACGTCTCACTCCAGCTCCCCGCCAGCTCGTTAACCATATCATTTCTTTTCTAGGCTTCCAGCTAGTTATGAATATTTCACCACAGGGCTACAGTATTGTTTTTCTTAATCCTGATATGATCTGGGAGCTGTTAGCAGTTGGCCTGTGGCTGATTAAATCAACAGCATGACCTCTGAATTTTCTGTTTGATTACAAGTTTAGTGGTGTTACCAGCCTTACCAGTATCATGATCTATGTCGATCAACTTGTCAAGAAAGTCTTTGACTGAGGCCACACTGCGAAGGATAATGGGATGAAGCGGCGCCATCCACTGCTCCTTTCCGTGACCCAGCTGAAGGCCCAAGTTCCCGACACTTTGTAATGCCTGGTGAGTATAAACACACAAAATCCATTCAACACTCACATCTTCAGCACATCAAATCTCCAGTAACTGACAGTGTGAGTGACTGCAGTCAGAGATCAAAAGGGTTCCTGAGGCCAAGCATGCTGTGAGGCCCTTTGTCCATCCCACACCTGGCCTGCAGCGAGGAGGAAGTCCTTCTCTACATCCCTCTCTGATGCTTAGCTTTGAACCACAGTCTGGTCGGAGCACACACACAGGTAAAAATAGCCTGTTCCCTTTCTCTGTAGAAGACCCATGGCAACAGCACTTCAGCACCATGGACAGCAACCACAGAAGCCACACGTGGAAGAGGAGCGAGCTTTCACTTTTCAACTAACACGGCCATGACACCCTGGCTTTTAATGATTTTGGGGGATGGAGGTATTTTCAGTACAGGTCACTTCCAGTCAGATACATGTGCAGATCTCAGGTATAACCTACTAGACACTTTTCTTGTAGTGACTAGCAAATGGTTTTTGATGATGCCTTTTGCCTTGCATGTTGTTATATTTCCACTTGAAAATAGTGGGACCTAATGTGAGAAGGTATGGTTTTATGGTACAACAATGGCACTGAAAACCACTGCTTATTGGTGTATCAGTCCACTGTGAGATATGTTGTGTATAATCCAGTTCTCATAAATTTGCTTCTGTGTGTACACATAGTATAAACATTTTATGTCATATTCCTGCTTCATGTTTATTTTATTCCTGTAAATTATAAATCCTCACTGTTGGCAGACAGCCTGTTGTCTGTTTGGTTTTTCTGTACTCAAGTGTGAAGTCCCAACATGAATAAATTATTCATTGCAGTGTCTGTGTTGTGAATTGTACCTTGGCCAGCAGTAACAGTGTTCTGCTTGTACGCGTGTCAGCATGCTGGTCCCTCAGCTGGAACAGTTTAGGAGTGAGGATTGCAGGAGCAAAAAAACGCAGGAAGAAGAAACCACTGATGGCCAAATACTTCACGTCCTGCAAAAATTAGGTGAATTTGGCAGGAAAGTTAATAGATGAAGGACTGTCTCCCTTAGGATATGACTTGTAGCTGAACATACATAAGGTACATACAGTATGCCTCTGACAGTCATTTAAAACACTTAAACTGCAAATATACAAGGCCTATAAATATACTAACAAATATATTGACATGCACGTGTTTCCAGACTGACCTCGTTCTCAGGTTCTGCAAATTGCTCCTCTACTCTCTTGTGCAGTTGTTTGAAGGCCACTCTCATGACAGGAGGACACTGATCCACTGAGCTCACAATTGATTCAGTGATGCTGGTTAAGTAGCACTGCAGCAACTCCACACTGCTGTCCCGCACCTCTGCCTCTGACACTGCACCCTTAAATGAAATTCGTCTTAGGAAGACAAGAAAAGACATTGTACCTCACTGAATTCCTGTGTCATAAATGCAGAGTATAATAAATCCTAAGACAAAGTACAAGTCATTGTGTATATACTGTAGATTTGGCTGAATTAAGTAATGATGATACTCAGTTAAGCATACTAATTAAATATATTCAAATTGCACATATTGATAACCTTTGTGTTCCTGATAATTGAGCATACTATTTCTGGACAGATAAACACAGATATTGCATGCTGAACTGAAATATCAGGAGAGACGTATAAAGACGTTAGTAGTGGAGGGCAAATAAGGTGACAACAGGCAGAGCTACTGCAGATGTAGAGGGTGTTAGATGCCAGATCGCTCTCTGTGTCAGTTAGTCATCTCAAGGGGCTCATGGCAGTTGCCAAGCAACAGCTTTCCTCCTTTTTACATGCCTTGTTTTTCATTTTCTCACACCAACGTCTTCCTCTCAGAGGTTACATGTAAAGGAAGTGGACAGTCTCCCGCAGCAGCTTTTCCATTTGACCATCTTAACACAAAGATTGTGAACTACACATTCATGAACCGACAGCTCAGTATCTCCACTTGTCACTCGTCATTTGAGCACATGTGAAACAGATCTGGACTATTTTTATGTTTTACAGTTTTATGTTTTACCTTGTGCGGTTCAGGTCAATCTTGCATGGGTCCAACTCAATGTACTTCTTCTCATCAAAGATGCGATTGATGATAGGCTTCAGCACCTCATGCAGATACAGCATGCCAACAGCCTGGTAGAAAAAAAAACCCCATTTGCGTCTATGCTACAGGGATAATTTTCTGTGTAAATGTGCACAGTACAAAGAGCAAACGTGGTAAAGTATGATGCAGCAAGGGATAAAGTAACTCCGGTATACATATTAATATTTTCTTCCAGAAAGAAAACAGCATCAACCAAAAAGTTTGAAATAATTAACAGTCAAATGATACTTTCATCCAGAGTAGAAACAGAAACCTCAGTTACTTACAGTTGCTGACAGAATAAAATAACAGATATGTTGACGCACCTTCATAAATTGTTCCATGGCCTTGGAGGCAAGTGAGTTGGATCGAAATAAAGTGTTTGGATCAGCTTTGAGAGCAAAAAAAAAAAGGAGACTGATTAAGTTTATGATAAACAATAACATGATTTAACCAGAAATACACCATATACACTATGTATTACAGCATATTAATATATAACAGGGCAGCAGCATGTTAGATTTTGGACATGATAAATTTAGAAAACAGGAAAAGTATCTGTCAACTCCTTTCATGGAAAATTTATAACACCTGTCTGCTCTTCAGTTTCTCGCAAACTTTTTTTCTAATAAAGTGAAGTTTTTCCTTTCCCCTCCTTTTAAGAAAAAAAATATTTACTGTACAGATTACAAAATCTTCATTGGAAAACCTTTTTCCATCAAGCATGCTCAGTCAGCTTTCTTTGTATAGTTTTAATTAAAACAATTAAAAAACAGGGGTTAAGATGCTCACTATGAACCACAACATGCCCGGTTTACTTCTGGCCAAGAGCCTTTTGTTGCATGTCATCTGCATCTCCCCTGCATTTCTGTCATTTCCTCACTGTTGTTTGTCTAAAAAGGCATACATATGCATAAACATGCCCCAAAAAAGGCACTGAGTTTGACGTACATATACAGTATCTGAGGGCAGAAATAGAGAACTCCTGCCGCTGTATTTATTACTCCCAGTGAATGTAATGAAGGAGCATTTAAACCTTCACTCAGACCCTCATCAGGCACATAATTATGCTTTTAGAAAATCTCTCAGACTGAAACACTGCTTCATTCACTGGAACCTGTTAATACAGTGTCTGAATCCTTTGTCTGCTTCTGCCCTTAGATCAGGCTAGTCTGGTGCACGGTGTCTACGTTTTTGGATGCTCATGCTTTCTATTCTGTTAACATATGTATCAGTCAAGAATTGTTCTGCTTTAGAAACACAGCATCACAACTGAGGGCAGACTGACCTTGCTGCAACATCACTTAATTCCTTCAAGATGGCCATATTAAAACATCTATGGTGACAGGACTGCGTTGGCAGGTAAAACAGGTTACACATTACGTGCAAAACTCTGAGTTTTCATTGTGGGTGCATAGTACATTTTCCTTTCCTTGCTCTTATATCAAACTTCAGTGTGTGGCTGCTCACAGCATCTATTCTGGATCAAGCAGTTACCACTGGATCATGTGGAGTTGCTATGGAAACTTTGGCACTATGCTTATTACTGTATCTCAAACTACACCAACACAACCCAAAGACCAGAGCACAACTCTGTGTGAATTGTCATGGGGATGTGGTGCGGAGGCAAAATCATGACTAATCGACACCACAGAGAAGCCTGTTGGGTGAGTAAATAATTGGCATCAGGGTAGTAAATATAGTGCTGGTAGGCTTTAACTGCCCACACACAGACCATGACGTTGAGAGACCTCACTGTCAGTTCAGTTACTGTAAACTGCAGCACTTCTCTGAGGGTATTTCAAGATTGGACAATAACAGCAAACTGGTATCACCAAAAGTCTGACTAATATAAACATGGATCAATAGAGATAAACTTAGGTCTTGTACACTCACACGTGCACACACACACACACACACTGCATTGTTTAATCACAGTTCTTATATAAATATATATATATATATACACTGTAAAATGTAATGTTAGTATAATTAGAGGTATTATTTTAATGCAGAAATTAGATTTATGCTACTCTGTCAAGAAGACATAAAAACAATAGAAAGTCACTTTTGGCTTTTTCCCATTTAGGGGTCACCATAGCGAACCGTCACACTGACGATTCGCATGTTGACATTTAGCACATGTTTTACGCCTGATGCCCTTTCTGACACAACCCTGATTTGAACCCGGAGCGCCGTGGGGAAAGCGCTGCGCCTTAACCACTAGCCTACCAGGGACAGCTAAGAATACATAAAAACAATACAGCCATAAAATGCAGACTGAAACTCATCTTTGTTGAAACATGAATTTATGCAGCGAGAGCACATAAAATTAAACATTTCTTTGTAACCTAGTTTTACAAAGATGTTATAAATCATAATGGCTCTAATGGACACTGGTCTAATGTTGTAGACAGGTGTCATGACATGTTCCTTTAATCTTACTGGTGTGGTTGACCTCCCGGGTGTTAAGGTAATCCAGGAAGGGCACCACCAGGCCCTGGCCCAAATAGATCTTCACCAGGGTCATTGCCACATCCTGCCGGCTCTCAACCGTGGTCACCTCCTCCAACATAGTCAGAGCACTGCTATCCTCCACCTGGTGAGAGGAGGACTCAGGTCATGAGCAAAGAATATGTGTGTCAGTGCCTACACAGAATAAAAGAACCTGGTGGAGTCAACTGCGGATTTGGAAAACATAACAGAGGGAAAAAAGCAAGACACACATACTTTGTCATACTTGTGTGTAAATGAATATCAATACTGAGGAAGGTTGCTGACCTCTGTAGGGGAGATGACTGACTCAACCAGAAGGTCAATGAGGGGCTGATAGTACACAGACGGTAAAATCCGATCTTCCACCAAACGCACCTTCAAACGCAGCGCTCCCAGCTTGCCACTGGAAACAAAGGAAAATAGCACAAAATCAGAGATTTTCTGCACATGATAATCACATACTGAGGTAAGCCTCTATTTAAAATATCCTGGATAAGAAGGAAAAAGTGTACAAAAAAAAAAAAAGTTACTAAATATGAGCTCTTGGATTACTTTGTTTTTCTGCACATGAGGACAACCAAAGATCTTCTTAGCTGCATCAGTTGCTATGATGTATGGGAGAAGTGTTTCACCCACAGAAAATTATGAGTTAAATGGAAAGATGATTATGAGACTGTGAAAGTATTAATGCATACACTTCCTTTTTTAATAATCTAAAACACAAAGGTGAAATGTTGATCATATTAAATCAACTGTAGTACAGTAACACTGAGGGTAATGTGGTAAATATCTGGTTTAATGTAGGAAAGGTCTTTCTAAACATAATATTAAGGAGTCCTTATAGTCAAAGAAATAAATAAAAATCTGTCAAAAGGGTGTGTTCACTCTGCATTCCCAAACCATCAAGTGTAACAGATAGTCCCATAGTCCCAGAGGGCTGGGGCTGTGGGACAAATACTTCTCTTTTTTGTGAAAGTAGGTCTCTCGCCAATTTCTACCAAGCAGTGTGCAGCCATCAATAGAAACCCTTTAACAGTGAGTCATATCCAATTACTTTGACATGATCCTTTTGACGTTCACTTAGTGCTCTTTGTTCTAAAATTATCTCAAGGAACAGATGCTGTCAGAGACCTGGCTACACACCTATGAACGTTCATTTAAATGCATGAGAGAGCACATGGAAGGGAACAAATACTTTCCTTGGGGGTGTATTAAACAAAGACACATTGATTGCAAATCAGTTTCAATCTTAATAGGTTTCCAAAAGCAAAATACTTTCTTCAGCAACACAAACACTCCACCTCACCGCACTGTTGAAACAAACACACCAACACTCACCCCGCATCAGCCTCATTGTTTCTCAAGGGTAGCAAACGAAACCAGCCCTGTAACAGAGGTGTCTTGTGCAAACAAGAAAAAGGTATGTCCACCTGTGGAAAAAATTGCAAACAAGAATATGATACCAGGCAAGAACAAGAACTGATTATGGAATTGTATGGTGGAAAACAGCTAACAGATTAAATTGTTTTTTAAAGCAACGACAACATAAAATCTGTGCACTATTATTATAAGTATGGCATCCTCGCCTTTCCCAGAAAGTCATTCTTGCCCACCATGTCCCAGTCCCAGACCTCCACAGTGACACTTCCCTCCTCAATTGGCTCCTCTGGATCCAGCTCCAGCTCCAGAGTCTCTCCCCAGTGAGGAAAACGGGTCTTCTTGATTATCTAAAACCCAACATTTGGGGTGTTAAGAAATCCACAGTATACTTTTGGTCACCTCAGATCGCTCAAGTACATGGTAAATATTGAACAAAATGACAGACGATCAGAGTATCAAACAGCCATCAGTAATAATGGCAGAACACTGGGCTCCCCTGAAACCAGCTGTTTGAACTCACCGAGGTCTCTGCACTGTGGCTGTTGAAAATAATTCTTGCAAATGGGTCAGAGGTTCCAGAAATGTCTCTTGGAGCCAGATCTCTGTAGGTACCACCAGAACAAAAGACAACAGAAGTAATCAGTACACTACAATGCTCAACAAACTCCCACTACCTGTTTTGCAAGTTAAATTAGTCAGTGAGGTGCAGCAAGGAAAAACAGAAAAACCTTTGCTTAATCCCACCTAAACCTTTCAAACTTAATCCTTATTCAACAGAGCAGTGTCAAGCCCTGATTGACATACTCATTAGTGCCCTGCCTGAGAGGGAGACTGTAGCCTGAGACCAACAGATGGGGCAGTGAGTGGTGTGATAGTTGCAGTATGACTTGGGAGGTGAGTGTGAAAGCGTGTGGTGATAGTGAGTTCAGAAATAGTGATGGCACTGTCAGGTTTCAGCTAGAGAAATTTAAATGATTACCACTTTAATCATCTTAAAAACTACACATATATGATGGATAATATGATTATACACCTACTGTACATTGTTACATGAGGTTATTTTTCCTCGAAGTGTTTTTCAGCAGTGGTGGGATTTAAACATCACAGTTACGTTACCTGGCTTCATCGACTTGACATCGCAGACTGATCTTCTCTGTATCTTTCAGCAGCTCCAGACTCAGGTGGATCTCCCCCTGGACTTCATCATCAGGGTCAACCCTTGTCAGGTTCATCCAACTATCTAGCCCTGACCACACCACACAGAGAGATATTTTTAATGAAAACAACCTGCCTCTAAACTTTTAAACATTAAGAAAGAAACACATTAACTAAGCATGCAGATCATACTTTTTTCAGTTCATTAATTTCATTCTTTCATTGCTGTAAACTTAATGAAAATAGCTGATCAAGAAAATGTAGCGATATCTCATGCAGGAATTGATTTTGGGTGGAGGAAACAAAAAACGAATGAATTGAGAGACAGAAATATTTTCTGCAACTATTTTAATAATGAATTAATTCTTTTTCATTTATTTCTCTTGCAAAAACAGCCAAACGTTCTCTGTGCTGAGGGACTGCTGGGTGGAGCAGAACAGCCAAACGTGCTGAGGGACTGCTGGGTGGAGCAGAGTGGGCTGATTTGCAATTTCATGCTATGCTACCTTAAGTTACATACTGTAGCTTTAACTGAACATTTTAAAGATTTGTAGTGCTGAGGAAGGAAAACAATCATCTTGGACTTTATCAAAACTGTTGTGGGCATTGTTACTATTTTCTGACATGTTATGGTCTAATCAATTCAATAATTTGATAGTCCTTATGAATTTGACTGCGTACACATTTTGAAATAGCCAAGCTTGTGCAAAAACATCTACAATGCTAGCAAGAACAAAATGAAGACATATGCAGTCTAAACATCTAAATTATGTGATAATGTTTACATTTTAGTCATGTCATATTCCATAAACAAAGGTACAATGTCAAGTGCAGACTGTGAAAAGGGAGCTGCAAGGGATGTAGCAATGACTCACAGGAGTGAAGGCCATGCCAGGTGGCTTTCAATTGGTATGCAGCAAACACACCCTGGTAAACACTTGGAGCAGTTTAATACAACTTCAATAGCATCACACCACACCTTATATAAACACCTTATGTACAGCCAAGACGCAGTGTTAGCAGAAAGTGGTGCGGTTAATGCGGACATAAACAGTATGACTAATTTTATGAAAGTTTAAGCTTCTGTAAGACCGCTTCTACATTACAGGATGGTTTATAATGCATGATGAACAAAACCCTGGAGTTTGTGCAAAGAAAGATGATGATAACAAATGTATCAATGTGAATAATGATTTCAATGTCTGTGAGTTAAAATTTACACAACTGAAACAGATTGTCATAAAAGTGTTTGATAAATGTAAGCGATTATTATGTGTTATTAAATGTGTGAGAGCATGCTAAAAAACATTCCCAGACTTTGTGACTAATAAAAGCACATCTCAATCACCTCAGACCTTTGACCCAGTCATGGGAATCCACAAATGTTTAACCTCTGAGCTTTGGCCAGGCACCCATCCTGTTACAGACTGATACAGATTTGCTCAGTAATACCTTTAGCTTGAGATCCAATGGCTTCTTTGCTAAGTGTAATCTTTCCAATAACATCATCATGGCTGTAGAAAAAGACAGAAGAGCTCATCAAATAGAAGATACAGTGAATGTTGTTTGACCTTGCTACAGTTGTAAATGAGGTGAATTTGAAGGCAGGTCAATTACAGTACTGGTGTTCATGAGAAGAAAATGATCTTTAATCATTCACTCTGGGCAGCCCTCTGCCAGACGATGTTTGTTTATTCAAAGCTTGGAGGGATTTTTTTCCCCAAACATTTGAACTGTACATGAAGTTTTAACACAAATAAATCAGTTCATGAGACAAGTTAAGTAGCAAAATAAATCAACTTCCAAGCTCTGTCAGTGAAAAGTAATGGCCGTGATGGCTTTGGGTGGCAGTGTTACCCAATGGTGTCCTCATCCATGACAAGAAAGGAGAGTGAATGGAACCCCATCGGGAGGTGTAGTGTATACTCTTCACCCCAGAAAGGATTAAGGTTCTTCCACACTGTGGCAGTCCTGAAAAGAGAGGGTTACAATGCTTGCACCCAGACCTTACACAGAAACCTTTTGCAATTGTATGCAACAATTGAAATCACTAAAGTAAGAAAAGCATATAAATATGACAGAAAATCATTTAAATATGACAATCACCCACTTTACCGGTGAGGAAACCGATTATATGTTTTTCAAGTAATATGAAGAATATACTAGAATTTGTTACCCTGCAAGGAATCACAGGTGAAATGAAAGGACACAAAAACCCATAGGTCTGCTATTATTCAAAGAAAGCAAACCATCTAAGAAATCCCTCTTTGGTAGATCTGCTCCAAACTCAGTGACATACAAAGTCCCAAAGAGGCATTGCTTCGTTTTAAGAGATCATATGGTGAAAAGGCTGGGAATCAGTGCTGTACACCATGCTTAAAAACTATAAGGCTCCCCACACAGGAATCAGCAAGTTTTACCAATACATATTTTTATAAGAGCTCTAAGGGTTATTTTAAAGCTAAAAATGGTTCTCAATAGCTTTTCTGAGGTTGATTTAAATGTATCCATAACACTAAGGATCATAAATGTTATACCACAATGTTGGCATTGAATGCCTGGTTGACATTAATAGTCTTGTATATTTATGCTATGATACTTTCTGATTTAAATGATTACTTTACCCATTTTTGATATTTAAGCAAGTTCTCATGTCACTGATGTGTTTAGAAAACAAGGTATCTATTGAAAAAGAGGTTAACATTCCTTAAAGTAAGGTACTGAAAAAGTAATGTTTTAGTATCAGTACCATTTATATATTGACTTATGATAAAGGAGTTCAGGGGATAGTCTACCCGAGGGACAATTTTAGAACTCTGTATGGTTTTCTATTTCTCTGAGTGTACTGTACTGGTTAATCCCACCCCAATCTACCAGCTACGTCATCCGTGATCATCACACTCGACAAGTCAGTTGGACAGTAACACTCCAAGTACAAGATAATTAGAGTGTCTGCAGTGAATCATTGTACCGTTTTTCCTCAACATGCCAGATGGAACAATAGCTGCCAAATTCACCCCATGTTATTGTTAAAGCCCTCAACAATCTGAGCTACTGTCAAAGAGCACCAGTATGAAAAAATGCAATAGGCCTGTACTGCACTATAGCTATAACCTTATTTAATCTGAATATTTTGGAGGATGAAATCAGCTACTGTATACTTTTCACTGGACAGCATCTGTGAACTGGTGTATTCTGCTCCCAGTATCTGCTTTGCTTCCACCAGGAGCAACTTGCAATAATTGATGCATCCTCTCTCCATGGTTACCTGCTGGTGTTTTAAAGGCCAGGCCAGACCAGTATCAGGTTCTCTGTGTTGGAGGGGCCACATTGTGGGCACCACAGTCCTGATCACAGTCCAGCTGGTTTGCAGGGTAACAACCAGTAAATTCACCAAATGCAAGTAGCTGTCTGCACTGAAGGGTATTTTAATCTAAAATCACTTAGATTAGCTATATGCAACTGTAGGTTTATATAACTCAAGAAACTTTTCATATGCAGATTTCATCTTAATCAGTGCGAACTCACCTGGCCACAACCTCATTGTCAACTTTCACAATGCAGTATGGATCACTGGTCCCGGAGCTTAGAGATGACAAGTAAAGAATATGAGAAAGACTATTAGCAACATGCAGATTTGTCTGGTGGTAATTTAATTTTCCCTTGTCTCCAATTAAGCATGCTCAGGTCAATTAAGCACACATCCCTGCCTATCTCACCTCTAATTCCTTCAAGCCAGCGTACCCCAGTTTAGCGTTTCAAATGTGGACTTAACTTTGTTCTTATCTAACTAGTCTGATATGTAGCCATTGAACAATACTGAGGCTATATTCTAAGAGCTAGGACTACAGCATTGAAGCGCATGCCATTCAGAAATAACTTACACGTCTTTGGCCGGGAGGTTCCTTCCCTCGACAATTCGAAAATAAAGAGATGTGTTTTTGGCCATTTTTACTCCAGAAACCTATTTATCCAGTTTCTCTTGTGTTCCCATAGGCGCTGTTAAAAATAATGCTCTTCCCGTCCGCTACTGAGTTTTCTTCATTTCATTGGCCCCTTCGGCGCGTGACAGCGCACATCCCACCAGCAGCGCGCGACACATGCGCGTGTGCACCCCCCAGTCATCCTAGCAGGTTAAACACCGTGGGCCACCGCGTGGGCGGCCAGCTCCACTGGGCTTTGTCTTATTCCAGCTCATCTTTTAAATGATTGAACTGTTTACAAAGTCTTTTCAGAAATAAACACAATCGAGTAACACTGGACATTATTTATTATATCTGATATAGTTCACGTTTTTGCCTTTTTTAGAAAATACGCTAATTTGCGTATGGTCATCATACCTGGTAAGTATACAGCACAGTCGTCATAAGCGTCTCTTCTTTGATACAATACGCCACCTGGCGAACATTTTGAACTACTGCATGTATCTTTACAGACAGGCATCTCCACAGTCAGCAACTTGGGGTCTTCTTGGGAGTAAGTGGAAGCCGATGAACAGCGTTGCCAGGAAGCTTTCACTTGTTTTGAGTAGCTTCAACCGGTTTTAGTTAACGGTGAATGGGTGCGTTTTTAACTATAAGATCTAGTCGCATTAGTTTAACGTGGTACTGTTAACTAGCTTGAGTGCGTTCACTATCGTTCTGTCACTATTCTCTGTCCAGTTAAAGAGATGGATGGTTATCCCGGCGTCATTAACAGTGATTCCACGAAACAGCAAGAGAGACATTACTACCTATTATCTGAACTGCAAACTTTAGTCAAAGATTTACCAAGGTAATGTTCGGGGAAGAACTGTTTATAAATGTGTCCGTTTTAGCTCTGTGGTCGATTAATAACAGCATCTTGATGATTTTTGTTTTTGTTTGTTTATTTTCATTGTTAGCTCCTTCCAGCAGCGCCTGTCCTACAACACGCTGAGTGACCTCGCTCTAGCACTCATAGATGGGACGGTCTATGAGATTGTGCAGGGGCTCCTGGATATTCAGCATCTGACAGAAAAAAATCTCTACAACCAAAGGCAAAAGCTGCACAGTGAACACCAAGGTCGGTGCTCTGTATAACAGAAAGCATCCGGGGCCTGGTCCAAGAAGCAACCCATGCTTTCTGTTTGGATAATTGCTGAGTAAAACCAGGAGTCCTTTCAAACCATGAACCATATCTAGTGCAAAAACCTGCTTCTTGAAGCAGGCCTTCAGTAGGATGATGCATTTTCAGATGTCTAATGTGATACTTGACTGGTTATTCCTCTAATGTGTAGCACTCAAACAAGATCTTGCACGAAAACACAAAGATGCTCTACAGTCATGCAAGTCCCACAACCTTGCGCTTCTCAAATCAAACCAACAAGCAGAAACTGAGGTAAGAAAGTGAAATTCCCAATAGGTCTACTTGTGATCAACTGTCAAATGCCTACTGGCTTACTAATAATTGTGTGTTTTGTTATCAGGCGCTGGAAATGCAGAAACTGAGGTAAGAAATTGAAATTCCCAATAGGTCTACCTGTGATCAACTGTCAAATGCCTGCTGGCTTACTAATGTGTGTTTTGTTATCAGGCGCTGGAAATTCGTGTGCGTGAGGAACAACGAATGATGGATAAGAAGATTGTAACAGAAATGGATCAAAAAGTGGTAGACCAGCAGAACACCCTGGAGAAAGCAGGGGTCCCTGGGTTCTACATCACCACAAATCCACAGGTAAACAATTATGCCTGTCTCCTCACTATTAATGCCGCAATAAATTAGCTTTGTGATGCTGATAAAAGTATAGCAAATGGTGCTGTATGTCCCAGCTTACTGCTGTTCATCCACTGTGTTTCAGGAGCTGACCGTGCAGATGAACCTACTTGAACTGATCCTGAAGCTTCAGCAGAAGGAGTCAAAACCTGAAATGCTATAAGAAGGATAACAAAGAAGCCTAACTGTGCCAAAAGAAACCAAAAATCATACCGTGGCCACAGACAGTGCATGCTTACATTCCACTAACTGAAAATTCACAGTGTGTTGGCCAAAATTGAACTCTGCCATCTTTCAGAAGCAACAGGTTAAGAAAACCCTGATCACTTGTTGACTCGAGTGTAAATATCATCACTAGGAGAAGGCAGCTTGTCAAGTATTCAAGACACTTCAAATCCTAGAGAAGAGCAGAAGCAGGTTGTGACAGCATAGCTTGTAAAGCACTTAAACACCAGTATGGTCATACTTAGCAAAATTAGGAACTTGTTTGTTTCAGAGTCTTTAAATGCTTTAGAAACATTTAAGGACAAGGAGATGAACAGGTGGGTCAGTTGGAATTAATTCTGTGACCTGCCAGCAATGGGGTGTGTCTTTTGATGTCTTTGGAGCATCAAAAATAATAAAGAGATTAAAGCTGAGATTTGTACCTTTCCACATTTTTGGAAAGATTGCGTGTGTAAAAACATAAACAAGGTGTGAAATGTTTCAGCTCCAGTGTACTGGCTCTCTTTTTCTTTTTTTTGAACAGACTATACAGTATTATGATTACTCCTTTATTATGTATATTTTTGTTTGTTATACTTATGTTGGCAATTGCATAGATTTTTTTTAAATGTCAGTGTTGGTAAAGTTTGCTCTTTGACATAAATAAGTAAGTCTGTGGCCTCTCTCTATTGTATCCCCAAGAAAAAAAAAAAGAAAATTCATGTTGGTTTGCATATCTGCAGCTCCCATAACGCGTGCCAAGGCTTTTGGTGGTTTTGTAGCCTATCCCTAACAGCTGATCAATGACAGGTGCACTACAGGTGTAACACAATCCACTTAGGCCCCAGCAGCGCCGCCCACTAGCGTTTAACATAAACCATGTGTTCATGCGGTTGTTGATAAACGTGTAGCAGGTTGGTGAATTATCGGCATTTCACCTTGTTCGCTCAATCACTGGCTTGAAAAGTGGATTTGTAGTTCATTTGTCACTGCGAACCGACCAGGTTATCATTACTTTACTGGTCCAAGCGCGCGCACGCGGCACCTCTGTGCACCAGAGCGCGCAATGTGGCAGACGGTCCTCACTGATGTCTGTGTTTTTGTTGACTATTCCACAGCTAATACAGAGAATCGGGCTTCTAGCGCAGCGCCAGGCTGACTTCATTGGGCCTTTGGCCTGTCCATGTCTCTGTTTTCATTTGGTGTCTTATCACCGAGCTTTGTGACTTTCAAGCAAGAAATATTAGTCACATAAGGCTTCGTGTCCTGTACGCCGTTTGGGCGTGCACTCAGGGTCCTGGGGCTTCCTGTGTAGAGAGGAATGCTGTCTCCCTCTCTCTATCTCTATCTCTCGTTCCCTCTCCCTCCCTCAATATGGGTGGGGCGCAGCGGAGACCCCCTTTCAATAGGAAGCAAAAGGTGGCTGTGCCTTTAAGAAGCTGTCGGCGCACCTTCTGCTTGAACCGACGATGCAACCCGGTAACTTCTCACAGTACTGGACCTACAGTACCGAAGAGAGACGCTGAACGACAACGGTAAAGCGCTCGTTACATTTCTTATATTATGTTTCTCCGTTTGTGGTTACAAAAGGAATCTGGTTAAATAATCGCATCTCCCTCACGAATGAACAGTGCGATGTACTCTCCAGTAAATCTAGGACATAGAAAGTCTAATGCGCTCACGAACCTTTTTTTGCATCCGTTTCCATTTTGTTGTAAATTTTTAATTTGGTTTTTAAAGCAACGCTTATCCCGTTTTTTTTTTTGTACGGTACCGTGTGTGGCCGTGGATATGTTTACTGAAGATTAGTTCGCAGTGTAAACATATTGTGCGGTTTCTATTGGTTGTTTTGCTAGAGGGGAATAAAGCGTTACATAATTATAATGGATGTACCATGTTTTCGCCGTGGACCTATCGAGAGCAGGAATCGGATGTTGCACCGCCCGGATCAGGAGCGTGTAGGCTGGGCCTTTCTGCTGAAAACACCCAGCATATTCATTCAAGTAATAAAGATACTAATAATAAACAAACAAAAACATAATTTACATGTTCTGTGGTCACCGTGTTTCAAGCTTTTACTGTGCACATCAGCCTGTTGGATCACGTGGGCTGGCCTCGCACTGAGCGATGAGTGGTCAGTGCCAAAGGCCTCGGTACAAAGTCTGGTTAAAATAGATACTTAACATGGGGGAACTGCCACATAGACTTCATTTTAAACAGACTAGATGATGCTTTGGCCTTTCTTACATTTTTACGACAAATAAATATCCTGTTTGGTATTTCCTTACGAAACATAATCTTACCACTATATCGACATTACAGTGAGACGTAATATTTGGGTTTGTTGTATCTATCTAGAGATCCAGTTTAACCAATTATTATTTAGATGTTTTCTGTGACTGACACCAAAGTTGTACAAAATTCATATTTATTTCTTCATACTGTGTGACTTAAATATTGTTAAATGTAAATACTGAACATTTTGTGTCACCGTTATTTTCATTACACAGACTGCAAGGATGGACATGTAAACTTCCTAAGCAAAGAAGTGAGGCTTAGAAGACAATTCTGGTTTCAAAGTGGCTTAGTATAGACTAGTTGTTTATAAAGACCTCCAGTGTGTGTCTACCAATAGAATGCCTTGAGCAAAACGCTAGACTCCACCCTGCAAACTTAGTGTGTCAAGATAAAAAGCTAACACATGAACATAGTGCACCATCATTGTGTCACTGTTGATGTGTCCTGAAGCTGAATACACAGTGTGCTTTTTAAGCAAGTCTCACTACAACATCCTCCACCAGCTTTTCCTGTTCTGATTGTTGGTGTGCTTGGGCTCTGTCTTGCAGGTCAGTTTCATAGACAGGTAATGGATCCAGTGTGACTGTTAAGCACCATCTGCCCAGCTGGCCCGTCTAACTCTGTAGCTATGGCAACTTGTGTGAGAGGATGTGCACCAGTGGTGCGCCTTTGTCAGAGACTAAACCGACTCAAGACACTAGATGATGACATGATGGCCACATCACTGAAACGGTGCCTCTCCACCCTGGATCTCACTCTGATGGGTCTTGGTGGCATGGTTGGCTCTGGGCTTTATGTTCTGACAGGAACAGTGGCTAAAGACATGGCTGGGCCTGCTGTCATCATATCCTACCTTTTTGCAGGTATTGCTTCTTTATTGGCTGCCTTTTGTTATGCAGAGTTTGGAGCACGTATTCCCAAAACAGGCTCTGCCTACATGTTTACCTACGTCTCTGTGGGAGAGATCTGGGCTTTTCTTATTGGTTGGAATGTGATTCTGGAAAACATGATTGGTGGCGCTGCTGTGGCACGTGCTTGGAGTGGCTATCTGGACTCCATTTTTAACCACGCTATCCAGAACTTCACAGAGACGCACATTATGCAGTGGAACGTGCCCTTCCTTGCCCATTACCCTGACCTCCTTGCAGCAGGGATTCTAGTAGTAGCTACATGCTTCATTTCCTTTGGAGTTCAAGTGTCATTTTACCTCAACCATATCTTCTCCACCATTAGTATGGGTGTCATTGTTTTCAACCTGGTCTTTGGCTTTGTGCTGGCTGACCCAGCCAACTGGAGCCAGAAAGAAGGAGGCTTTGCACCTTATGGGCTGTCTGGAATACTGGCAGGTTCAGCCACTTGCTTTTACGCATTTGTGGGCTTTGATGTAATTGCATCCTCAAGTGAGGAAGCAAAGAACCCACAGAAAGCTGTTCCCATTGCCACTGCAGTCTCTCTTGGACTGGCAGCAACAGCTTATATCCTGATCTCCGCAGTGCTCACACTAATGGTACCCTGGCACACACTGGACCCCAACTCAGCTCTGGCAGATGCTTTCTTCCGCCGTGGTTACAGTTGGGCTGGAATTGTTGTGGCAGTAGGTTCCATCTGTGGTGAGTATCATTCTTTGATTGATAAGAACTTAAATAGCTGTGCAGTAAGTTTAGCAGTTATATTGTATGCACTGTGCCATATTTTGTTTGTCTTATGTTGTGATAATGAATCTCTGTTTTCATTTCTAGCCATGAACACTGTGCTGCTCTGTAATCTCTTCTCCCTCCCTCGGATTGTGTATGCTATGGCAGAGGATGGATTGTTGTTCTCCATTTTTGCACGTGTCAACCCCGTCACCAAAGTTCCTGTCAATGCTATTGTGGTGTTTGGAATCCTCATAGCCACCATGGCTCTAATTTTTGACCTGGAGGCCTTGGTTCAGTTCTTGTCCATTGGCACTCTTCTGGCTTACACCTTTGTGGCGGCGAGTGTTATTGTGCTGCGCTTTAAGCCTGAGAAAACCAGCTCCAAGGGAACCGCTTCCACATCCCCCAACCCCAATACTGAGCCTTCCCTTGCCCACTCAGAGTCTCAGACCATAACTGAAGAGAGCGGGGAGCTGAAGCAGTACGAATCCTTCTCTGATAAACTCCAGTTGGTAGAAAGGCAGAAAACAAGAGAGCAGTGTGGGGTGGGGCAGCTGAAGGCCCGGTGGGAGCCGTACCTGGGCAGGCTGATGGGGGACTATGAACCAGGCGAGGTGGTGGCCTACTGTGTGCTGACTCTGATGGTGAGCTCAGTTTCCTTCTGTGCTGTGCTGGAATTTGGAAATGTACAGTTGCAGCTGCCAGTCTGGAGCTTTGCAATACTGCTGGTGATTTTTAGCCTAGCTCTCGTTCTCAGCCTGGCAATCATATGGCTTCATGAGCCACAAACCCACAGAAAAACATTCCAGGTAAGCTCATTTATGGATTTTATAACTATTATGCAACTCTACTGTATAAGTATGGTGACTGCCTGCTTCTGTCTTTCACTTGTAATATGGTGCTCAACTTATGTTTGCTCCTCATGACCTGGCAGCAGCATACAGTTAAAATTAGCTAAATTAAATGGTCTCAGTTCAATCACATTTTTTTAAGCCAACTGTACAAATGGACTATGATGTTTTATTGTTGTATAGGTACCTCTGGTTCCACTGACTCCAAGTGCCAGTATCCTCATTAATGTATTCCTCATGATGAAGCTCAGCACTCTAACCTGGATTCGATTCACTGTATGGATCGCCATAGGTAAACAATATATCAGTATATTCCTGCAAAACAAATAGTTTTCCCCTTTTGCATAGTTACTCAATATTATACCTCCAAAATAAATACAGCTGTCTGCCAACTTAAAAGATGATTAGGTGCACAACTCCCTCTCTAGAAACACTGGGTGCAATTCCCAGTGAACAAGTGATGTGAAATGAATGTTATCTTAGTAAGTTATTTGAATACATTGTGATGAGCCTCATTAGCCTAAGGCCTTTATGAACAATTAAACCATTTTGAACAATGCTATCGGACTGCAGCAAGTTAACAAGATGTACACTCATGGAAAATTGCACTTGACAGAGCAGGTTCTCTCTCACAGAGCCCATTTCCCTAGAGAAGAAAGAGCCTCTTACCTTCCATAATGGCCACTGAAGAAAAACATAGGATTTCTTCATTAGACTTAGAGTTAATGCAGCATTAAAGCCAAGTAATCAATATTACACCTGAGTAACTGACAGAAGTTCTCACTGACTATAATAAATGTAAAGTTTTGACAAATTGAGGACTCATGTAATAGTTCTTTAGCTATGGTAGCACTATCGCTCTAGGGGTGACATTTGGTCCGTTGATCCACAATGACATATACTACTACTACTTCACAGCTAGTATTTGATAGGCATTTACAATTTGGTATGTACATTAATCCTCAGATAAAAAATTTTGTTTGTTCTGATACTTATATCTGCTTAATATTAGTACGTTAATGCTGTCATTGTAAGAATGTTAGCATGCTGAATTTAGCATTTAGCTATGCTGTAAATTATCCTTGTTGTCTAAGATTTTAATGTTCATGTGTTTTTATAACACCAATTAGTACATTTTGCCCATAGAGAATTAAATATGAAAGCCACCAACATGTTTTAAACTGAGAATAACACAAAACAAGACTTTACATCCCACTTTTCCCATTACTGTGTTGTGTGCCCTAACATTTTAAGTATCATACGGCCCCTTTCCCAGGTCTCTTGGTGTATTTTGGCTATGGGATCTGGCACAGTAAGGAGGGCAAACGGGAGCTGCAGCCTAAAGACATGGCTGCCCGGTACGTGGTACTACCCAGCGGCAGTCTGGTAGAAACAGTGGAATCTGTCCAGCCCGACGGTCAAGTGGACACCTCGGCTCACCACATCAACGCCTCCACTGCCTCAGCAGCTGAGGAGTATGCAGGAAAGAGATGATGTGGGATCATACATGATCATCATTACTACTGCCTGGTATTGTCTGTTGTCTCCCACTCATATGCTATACTAGTGTACTCTCTCTCTCCCTGTACTTATTGCTCTGCAAATGTAAGCACAACAGGATGGGATGCATGCCGTCTGTCTTGCTGTGAAGCATATTTGTATATCTTGTGATACTTGAATGTACAGTAGACAGTTCTGTTACTGTCCTGTAAGCACCTAGCATCAAAGTTGTGTTATAACCTTTAAGACCAGCGCTATTCTTTCCAGTTTATTAGAATCCATGTTTTTGTAGATTATATGGTGCTTTCTTTGTGGCACACTATACTTTTAGTTATCTATACTCAGTGGATGATTTTTGAAAAAGAATTTGACATGGATCTTGAGCTGGAAAATCAACACTCACTAAAAGTGTAATTCTGTTGTTAACAAGATAGAAGTCATCTCACAGCATCTTTGAAGAGATCAACTTAAGGAGAATTGATTTGTTGCATTTTGTGGTCTAAGCACAGACCTTTGCCCTGTAGTGGCTTCTGACAAATTATTTATTCCAATATTTAATATATGTATTTATTTTTCTGTTGCTAGGCTCCTAGTCATAGTTTATACAGATCTCATTCCCTTCAATTTTTTTTGTTTTCTGTTCCTGATATTGTCATTGTTGATGTGTTTGTTATATGAAAAACCATTGTTTTGCATACCTGTATTAAGGGCACTGCACAAAGGCGGCATGTGACGTGCGTCATTGCAGGTTGACACATATCACATGACGAGCCGCGACACGATGAGGCGCCACCTGTGTGTGGTACCCTTTAGTCTCATTAGTTCACTTCAGTGCTTCGCTTAATCTTCTAAATGTCCTCTCATGACCTTATTCTCTTTTGTGTCACTCATCTTTTGTGTCTGCACCTGTACAGCTTTTTCTCACGCACCTTTAGACAGCCATCCTTTCATGTCTCTCTGTTAGGATGAGATTATAAGAAATCAAAGCAAATTGAGAGAATGATACTATTGGATAAAATGATTATTCATATAGATGCTACAATCCAGAACTCATGTTGAGTAAATCTTAGATATAAGAATAAATTAAATTATCAACAATAAGTCAAGTATAAACCTATTGAATGGGAATCTACACACACAGAGGATAGAATATTGGTTGTTATTGCATATTAAACCTGAGCTGGCCCTTTGTGATCCCAGCAAATTTGCAGCAATGCCTGTCAACAGTCTGAAGCTTGACCTACCGTAGATTAGAAATTAGGCATTCATGTGAGAAGACACTCCTCTTATACAGATAACATTCCCACAGCCTGGTGTAAGTAAATGAACACTAGGTTTTGTTTATATCATGAATTGAAATTCTTATTCTGTTTTTCTTTTTATTCCTTCAGTTTGCGTTTGCATGTGGTACATGATAAACCAGTGGCCTTAAACATGTAATTAATGCAAACTGGCTTCCAAAGCTCACATCTGAATGGTTATTTGATTTATTTGTCTGTTAGATATAACTTTGTTTTCTAATTATTAAACCAAAACACAATCATGGAAGAGAATGTATAGCAGAGGGCATTTTGGCATAGTTACTAAAAGGAGTCAGATTCAAGAGACTTTTGTACAACTTTGCACACCATTTAAAAACTAGTGTCTGGTCATTTTGTGTAATGCTTTTGATGTCAGCGCCAGTGACAGATATTAAGACTATGGTGCTTTTTATAAGCTGAACATTCTCTCTCCTCTTTCTGTCTTGTTTATGCCAGAACACACAGATATAAATGGTCCCTTTTTTCCTACTACTGAATAGTATTGTATTCTACTTACACATCAAGGTCCCAAGTCTTTCTGTTGTAGCGTGTCTGTATAAAAATGTTATAAATGGAAAAATAAATGTTTTGAAGAAACATTTATAACAGTGTTCTGACTGTAAGAGTTGCATCCTACAGAATTTGACTCATCCTTACAGTAGCTTTGATCTAATATACTCAATCTTAATAGCGATGTTTATCCATTTTAGCGATTTAAAATTGTATATGCTTAAATCATTTCTTTAATTTCAATTTTAAAAACGGTGACGCACAATCTGTAAGTGAACCTGCTGCTGCTGCTTAGAAATACTGTGATACTGAAAAATTACTTGCAGTCAATTGCATCATCCTAACATAATATTTTCTTGCAACTAATATTAAAAACATTTTATTCTCTAAACTGCTGGACAATGTGTGAACCAGATAAATGTTAAAGATAAATAATCCAAAGTATGTCACTAAGCTGTAAACAGTCCTGATAGGTGTTTTTTTTTCTCCACCCAATTCTCTTTTCATCATGATACAGCTTCATTTTAGAAGACTCATGGCTCATCTCATATCCATGCATCCATCCATTTTCCTCCGCTTATCCGGGACCGGGTCGCGGGGGCAGCAGTCTAAGCAAAGATGCCCAGACTTCCCTCTCTCCAGACACTTCCTCCAGCTCCTCCGGGGGAATGGCGAGGCGTTCCCAGGCCAGCCGGGAGACATAGTCCCTCCAGCGTGTCCTGGGTCTTCCCCGGGGCCTCCTCCCAGTGGGACATGCCCGGAACACCTCCCTAGGAAGGCGCCCAGGAGGCATCCGAAACAGATGCCCGAGCCACCTCAGCTGGCTCCTCTCGATGTGGAGGAGCAGCGGTTCTACTCTGAGCTCCTCCCGGGTGACC